GAGGTGTATGGGAGGTGTATGGGAGGTGTATGGGAGGTGTATGGGAGGTGTATGGGAGGTGTATGGGAGGTGTATGGGAGGTGTATGGGAGGTGTAACAGTGCACACTGATGACTTACCTCCTGCGTCTCTTTGGGCAGATGGAGCCCATTCCTCTTCCCAAGCTTAATCAGTCTCTCCATGTACCTTTTGGCTTCAGGGCGCAGGCTGTCTGCATCTAGCTTCTCCTATAAACGAGCAAGAAGGGCGTGCTGAAGTCGTTCATCTCTCTTTGCTTGCAGCAGCGCAGAGTTCTGGTATAAGCTGTGGACTCTACACCAAGGGTCATGGGTTCAGATCTGCTGGGGAGTCTGCTGTAGCGCCCATGAGCAAAGCACTCGACTCTGATTGCTCTAGCAAACAGCCTGCTGTAAAACCACGCTGCTGGTTGTCATTGGAAATGAGAATTTAGCAAATTAGTTACTTGGTAAAAAAAAGGACGAAAAATTGTGCCCCTAAGTGATAAATCTTCCAATATTCTCTTCACAAGAAGAACTCAGCCTCATTCAAACACACATCTTTACCTGAGACAGAGCACCCATTACAATCAATTTCAACCATTTACACTCATTCTTCTCATTATGGGATGCTTGTAAACCCCCCGCATAATTTGATACTAATGGCCTTCCCCCCAGGGACGGAGCTCAGAGACGAAATAACGAGCTCAGGGCAGTTGCTTCACTTCCAAGTATCTATGCTGCCTGGGAAAAACCTCCTATGGGGACACAATGAGATTGCTGCCTGGATGGCTGAAAGTGAATCATACAGGGATCTACAGAGGACTAGCTGCGAGCTTTTGCACCAGACATTTCTGCTCCCAGATGAGAGGCGTATGGGGCCAGGCTGCAACCTTGGCCATAGCCCCTTGAATGTTCGGGTGAAGATGATCTCCCACAGAATGACAACTGCATATTATATCACATGCATGAAGCTCACAGGCGATTCACAGTTGCAGCTTAGTGTCTCTAATATCAGCAACTAACCTGACCCCCTGCCCGATGTCCATTTCTTAATAAAGCCGAGATGAACCCTCGGTGAGTGGAGAGGCCTGCACACTCCCCTGCCTGCTGTATTTCACTGCTAAGCGAACGAACCGACCCGTGACAGAGCACAATGTCAGATAGAATGGTTCCGTCTAGCAAACGGAATCAAGGGGTGTCACCTCATCTCTTCTGCTCACTGGGGTCTCTCCCCAACACCCATCTGCCTTGCTCGTCGCCCACCTGTGCGGCAGAAGCCAGGCGGCAGCTCGGGGCCCTCACCTGCAGAGCCACGATCCTCCTGTAGACGTCCTCCCTCATGCTCATCTCCACGTCGAACTCCGACAGCTTCTTGTCGGCCTCGGTACTGGCCTCCCGCACCTCCTTGTTGGAGGACACATGCTGGGGGAAGTCAAGCACGTTCCTCTGCACTGAAAAAGAAACAGGTTACACGTTCAATCCTTAGGACACCACCTTCAGGCTAATTGGACAAATAAAGACTTCATGCATAATAAACCACAAAGGAACAAGTAAAGGTTTATTTGAAAAGAGAAGAAAGGAAACACGTTTTGGCTGTGGAGTGTTGCGTTTCCTGTCTTCTCTTTTCAGCAGGAATAACCTAACAAAAAAGGGGAATGTCAGCACTCGGACAAAGGAGATTCTCACAAAGTTGCAGCCCCTCCCCCCCCAACAACAGATTTACGCCAGGCCTCCAAACAATCAAAACCTCAGAAAAAAATGTATATACTTCCCAGTTCCTTTAACAATACCTATATACAATTTGTTGTCAAACACAGGCAAAGTGTCAGCTACTCTTTATGTAGAAAATGCTGAGCACTCTATACCATTGCCTGCTGCATTCCTGCCAGCTCAGGCCTTTAACAAAGGCTCTGTAGTGGCCTGTGTGTTAAGTGATGTTGCTGTGGGCTTATCTGGACTTATCTGCTTATGCAAACGAGCGTTTTTATTTTAGTCAAGTAAAGTCGCTAAAGAAATCTGCAAACAGATTTTAGAAATCTGATGCCATTTATCCCTTTTACTGACATTTATGACTTCAGTGCTTGTAATTACTGCATGTCATGACAGCATACATTTAATACACTTTAAAACAGTCATGAGCAGGAAACTAACCTACTTCAGCAAGACGTAGTTGGTTTTTCTAAGCACTTGTAAGAGTGAAGGTATTTTTAAGGAATTTTATACCAAATGGCATGAGATTTGTTTACTCCTTTTAGGTTGTTCAGATCCTAGGTCATCATCTGTTCCTTCCGTTTAGATTCACGTGAGGAACCTTCAAGAGTTAACAACACCAGCTTACAATTCCCTTTCCAAATCCCTTATCCGGATATCCTGGTATCTGGACCTGGAGTGAGCACACAGCTTTAGAGACACACGGATTTTCATTTTTAAAGACCAATTAGTGGCCTAACTGAATCCGTTATTGGCTCAGGGAGGCCTGATTCCAACTGTTTCCCGAAACCAGCCGAAGCGTGGCTCTCCAGGACCAGGACCAGGACCGAAGAGGTGAGCTCACGTTCTGATCGGAAAACCAGCCCACGTGTCCGTGTGCCGCCACGAGCGGAAACGCAGCAGGACGCGTCCTTACCTGTGTACTCCACCTCCACGTCGGCCAGCGCTTTCAGGGCGTTGTCGTAGGTGACGGCCTCCAGCTCCAGGGCCCCCACGGCGTCGTACACGCGCTTGGTCCTCTCGATCAGCTCGTCGGCCAGCTGCCGGATCTGCTCGGGGCTCAGGTCCCAGCGCAGGCGGTTCTCGGCGCAGACCCGCGGGGCGCTGGCGATCACGACCTCACCTGCCGAGGGGGCGGGGGATGGGTCAGGCCCTGCACCGCGCTGGCTAACGCCGGGTCAGGACAACGTCAGGGCAGCAGGACGCTTGCGGACAGGGGCACTGGGGGGGTTACAGTGTTTCCCCTTCTTGCCTACCAGCTGTGACAAAACAATTCGCTCCAGCTAGGCGGAGCAGAGCAGTGTACCGGCGTGGTCCTCGCTTCAAGAAGTATTTCAGACTCCTGACTGTCATGGTTGTTTCTTGGGCTCGGATACGTCCGAACATGTGCTCGATGATAAACTCTTGCTCCCCCACTCTTCTGCAGCCAAATAGACAGTGCACCAGTAATCATCCCGTGTCTTTTGATAACCTGCTGACGTGTTTTATTTGTACAGTAAAATGCTGAAACCTGCACAACTGTACCTTTGTCTGATGGACTCCGGGTTTATTATGGGGGCATGGTGTGTCACCTTTGATATGACCTTTGACCTGTTCCAACAGAACAGTTACAAACTCCAACTGCAGCTGCTTAGAATGATGAGTACTGTTCACAGCACTAGCGTGTGTGTGGCTACTGCAGGGCAAGAAAACCACTTCTGGATGGGCTAAATGGGCAAAGGCTGTGGCCCCCAATGACAAAAATCGCACGAGACAAAATTTAAAAGCACACAACACAACTCCTTTTTATGCAGAAAAAAATATTAAAACTTTCAGGAAATTCTGGAAAACAAAACAATTAAAGCTGTGGCACTGAAATTGTACAGGGTGACATGCAGTGGCTCATGTCTGCGATGTGCTCCTGATCCATGATGCTTACCAGAAATGAAGAAGTGTGACGTGGGTAATGTAGCCAATCAATCCTCACCAACACAAACAGCCCTGAAGTTGTGTGAGATGCTGAAGTCTACAGGTTGGCTAACAACCCGTCATCTCTTTTGTGAGACAACGTTAAAACACGATTGCTAAATGTTTTGTTCACAAGCTCAGGCTACTGGAGAACCATATTTAACCATCAACAGTAGCTTAAATTAAAATTTTCTTAGTGCCAGGAGAGGTTTACAGAGGGCACTCCAAAAGCCCAATGATAACCACCCACAGCACATGTCCCTTTGTGTGACCGGAGAGGAATATGCTGACTGACTGACACCCAGAGAAATTCCTTTCAAAACAAAGAACATGCCTGAACTCTCTTAGAGGGACATTATACAGGTGGTGTTTTTAACTGTTCAAAATAACACTTATTAATTATTATCTGTTTTTGCAATTATGGAAAATGTTTAATAGTTTCAAACACTACATAAGCAAACGGAGTTTCAGATCTACTGAATGTCAGTTTTTCGAGTAACTCCTTTCTGGATATAATTTTGTTATACTGTACTGTAGTGCAGGTGGCTACAGAAAAAGACGTGACTGATGCAATTGAATATATGGGTCCCTTTTTTGCAAGACAATCTGTGTAGAGCTTCTTCGTAGCTTAGGTTAGGAGTGTCACCTAAATCACCACTCTTAAATCACGTCCACCTGACACTGACAGATACACTGACACAGTGACATCCGCGAAAAGATTACTCGAGCCGACGATTAGGGGGGCAAGCGAGTTTCATCCACGACCACGGACTGAAGTTTTGGGAAATTCTTCTTTCAAAACAAATCCACCTCGAAAAGAAGGAAATCTACCAACTACTCGAACCTATAGCTTGCCTCCTCAAGTTGACTCCCGTGTTACTCCTGTAATCAAATACCTAAACGCGATTCCCACTTATCTGCTCGGGAGAGCGGGGAGCTGGGACTGCCCGCAGTGAAACTCGTGTAAACAGACTGTGTCTGGGAGGGGTGCCCTCAAGTTCACGACTGCACTTTGCGAGAGCAAATGATTGAGCACGTTATCCCAGCTAGACACACGCCGCCTTTGCCGGACTTTTCAGTGGAAAATATTGAAGTTATTTGAAGAAAAACTGCACTCCATAAAAAAAAAAAACATTTTAACGTTTTAATTACGTAACCCCCCGTAAAGTAACATAGTACGGTCCGATTTCTGAGCAGCACCCAGTATACAAAAAGCAATTCATCTTGCAAATGAGAGGAGCTCATCAAAGAAATTTAAACTGTGGGTACTTATGGGGACGTAGGTTGACAAAAAAAAAGGTTTAATAACTCACCTGTCGGGGCCATAGTACACAAGGATGAAGTAAATTCGCCCTGCAAATACTCTGCTGAAGAGCTCCGGGTCAGAATGGTGTCTGCTCACACTGAACCACGCTACTACCGGGCTGAGCAGCAGAAACTCGGTGGTTGGCTGGCCATCCTGTCAATCACTCGTTCCCCTGGAAACCGGCGGTCGCTTCCGCTTCGGGGGGCGTTGTTTTATTAACGGTACTTCCGTCCCAGACTCCTGACTGTCCCGTCTGTTGAATTAATTTCACAACAGTGCGGCGGGTCGCCCTGAGCCTCGGTTGCAGGTTACGGCAAACAAAAATAACAGCACACGTCAGCGGCGACTCTGAATGGTCGACCCCGATGGCCTCTGTTTCGCGATTCCACGGCAAAGGCACTTTAACTGTTGTGGGACAAGGTGAAAAAAAATACCCAGCGAAATCAATAAAGAAACTAAAACATAATTAAAAACTAGCAATTATTTAATACAGTCACACACCCGCGCCACATGCTTTCTGTTTTTTGTTTTGCCGAAAACATCTATTTGTTCGAATATAATCGTTCTGGGGGGGGGGGTGTAGGCACGTCCGACGCGTGACGTCAGAGGACGCAGACGGCCGTCACGCAGCGCAGCGCGAGGAAACTGCGGAGAGCCGGAACCGGGAGGTGAGACCCAACTTTTCTTGCTGCCGTTTTCATTAAAACCCGCACGGTAAACGCCGTTGCCCCGAGCGGGGCAGCCCCCCCCCCCTCCCTCCGGCAGACAGCGATCGCAGGGGCTCTGGGGGCACCTTGCAGAAAGGGGGTTGGTAGCGGCGGCGTCATCAGCGAAGCGGCCAGTTTTGCTGTACGCTGCGTTGTCCCAGATTTACGGTAAGGCCGCACGGAGGAGCGGCGGCAGTGCTGGAATCTTCTGTTTGACAAAACTCACAGCCGGCCGAGGTTTGGTCAGACAGGTGGGAAGGACGGCGTCTCTGGTTCGGCTAGATCATCAGACCGCCCGGTCGGATTCACTCGGCACAAGCGCGTAGTCTCCTCTGATCGCTCGCTCGGCGCCGGGCAGAACTCTTTCATCGATTAAAAAAAAGTACGGATTTAAAGAACTGGGCAGACTGACAACTGCGGTCGCCGGGGACTTGTTGAGAATTTGTCTGTTCTGTAGTTTTACGAGACAGTTTTCGTACAGCAGTAGTCTCATATGATGCACAGGTTCGGGGACACAGATCTGCAGAATTGGGAGAGTCAAGAGCGGCCTTACTGAGTGTACTCAGTGTAGGTTTAGGTCAGTATTCAGTGTTTGAAGTTGCTTCACAGGGTGCGGTTACGATTAATCAAAAGTAAAGTTAATTATGCCATTTTCAAGTGCAGTGTAGTATAATCCAGACACAGGCTGTCTGTGTGTACGAGGTACGTGAAAGCTTGGGACGACCTATTAGATCAGCTCAGCGCGTACACGTTCACCTACCGTGACATAACACGTGAGTCACCTTTTTCCGGAACATGCCAGATCCGAAAAGCAAAAGTAGGTTGCTGGTACGAAGGTCCCCAAATAAAACACGTTACTTCGTGTATTGCTACGTCCAGTGCAAGCTATTGATAAAAAGAAATTCATTTTCGCCAGCAGTGTGTGTAGTCTGCCATTTTATTTCATACGCATATTAGGAGGATTTACATAAGCAATGTTAGTGCGAGTTGCCGTGCTTTGCTGCTGACGATCCACAGCTGCTCCGTCGTGGTCTTAATTTCTAGACGCGAGAGCAGGCCTGTTCTTGAAGGGTGGGGGGGTCACTCTGAGCCACAGTTCTGGTCTGAACCTGGCCCGGGCTGGTTTGCTCCCTGTTTACTCATGCTCCCAGGCATCTGCGAGGAACTGTGCTGTTTCTGGGGGAGTTAATTGCATAATATCAACTCCAGAATAAGCGGTCGCGCACAAAATGTGTATAGCACGGTATGCGTAAATAGACAGGTTGAACCTAAACAAAAAAAATGTAATGCAGATGACAGAGTTGGTGTGTGGTAACGCCAAGTCAATGCCCTGTTTATTTTAAAGGCTCTTTGTTTTTGTACAATTTGCAGCATGGCTGGCTAGCACATAGGCATCAAGCATCTGCAGCATACTCCTCCTGCTGGTCGTTATTTTTAACCTGATAACTGATGACCTGTCCCCACTGAATATCACTTACTGCACTGGATCGGATGCTTTAAGTGAGAGTGGGGAGGCTTCCCATTTAATCAAATAGTGTAACTCAGAAGTTAATGGATTCATTTTCTCCAGAAGAATGTGGGATTGTAATACCATATTGCAAGTTTAGGAATCACCTTAGAGTCCAACAGCAGTAGCTAAATGAAGAGCACAACCATGACTGAGACACCTGTTAATTGGAAAGAGTGGAGCAGTAAAGTTGATTGAGCTCACAGGGCTATTGGCACATGAAAGACAGATCTGTAAGAGAACTGAGAGAGCAAGACTTCTCCATTTATCACAGGGGTAACCTCCTGAGCTGTGCAGGTGTCCTTGATACAGCTGGGTCAGTTGATGCTCTCTGGGTTATCTGCCTTCCTAAAAACACTCATTGGGGACTTGAAGCCCTATTCTTCTCAAACGTTTAAACATGACCCTTCCTTTCCAGAATCTCCAGAAACCTTACCTACTGCCCCAGCCTACCCCCTCAGCTACCAAATGGCAGACACAAAGCGTATCGCATTCTCCATCATTCAGTTTCTCCATGACCAGCTCAACTCGGGGGACTTATCTTCAGATGCACAGGAAAGCCTGGAAGGTAAGACGACAATTTCTTAAACCGGTACTGACATTTCAGTTTTCATTTTAGGCTGTAGCAGAATTTTAGTGACCTTTGCTTACAGCAGCACATTCCCAGTGGAAATGGCAATAAGTGCAATAATTACTTTGCAATAAGTAGACATCAATAGCCAGCACTGTTTTCAGTATTACAGGACAGTGCCCTGCTCTGTGCTGAATCTGCTTTCACTGGGAGCCTTTTGCTCCTGGGCTCTTGTGAGTGCTGGTGGAGACGAGGCTGTCACAGACAGGTGTTTTCAGTTCTGGTTACAGTGTGAGAAGGTGCCACTTGGGGTTGGCACATGATTGGCCATGCCAAGAGAAGCTGGGACAGGGTCACACGTGACAGGTGTCATCTTCACTTTGGATTGTAACTCGACCTGCTGTACAGACTACCCTAGTCCAGGAGAGCCCCGGTCCAGCCAGACTTACAAACTGCCTCTGGCGTTTGGAAACAGTACCTGTAAATTATTAATGACTTAAGCTAGTGATTGCTTCAATTTAAAATACTCTGGCCCTCGGGGCTGGAGGACACTCACATTTCATCCCAAATGATTGTTAAATAATTTGACAAATAGCCTACTTAACTGATTTAATTGTTCATACTCTTTTGAAATTGGTGGTTTAAGATTGAGCTGTAAAATGTACTGGTTTGAGGCTCTCCAGGAGCAGGATTGCAATTGATCGCCTGCAATTGAGTTTTACGTAAAATACAGCTGCACTCTTTTTCTGATATAACACTGATATTGTCCAATATGCAATAGTCTGTTTCAGCATAATACCTTCATGAATCGGAAACAAACTTGATTTGCTACATGCATTTTCTAATCAGATATATAAAATACAGTCTACAAACTGCAGTCACCATAGTAAGGCATTGGCTCAAAGTTCAGCAGTGAATGTGTATGCCATATCTTAACATGAAAGCTTATTGTTGTCACTTCCTTCTAAATTCAGTCAAAACCAATTTTATGTACAGAAATGACTAAAGAAAGTATAAAGGAACTATCATCTGTTAATGCAGCATTTTAACTACGTTCTTGTTTATTAGCCCGATGAACGGTTCTGGGTAAACTTTGGTTTTAATGTTTTTGCCTGTTAAATGCTAGGTTACCGCCTTTGTGTGTTTGTACAACTCTTAGTCCACTCGCTAACTGGACTGGCGGGGGAATGGGACTCCTTAGTGTTTTTTAAATCACTGTTTCTGTTTGCCAGTTGCAATCCAGTGCCTGGAGACGGCCTTTGGAGTCTCCCTTGAGGATCAGAGCCTAGCAGTGATGCAGACGCTCCCAGAGCTCTTTGTCTCAGCCACAAACAAGGTGAGGAGCTGCCGCAGGGCACCGAGCTCCGTGTTTGTTGTACGCCCCCTTTCTTTCCTCAGCACTGTTATCTAAATCATGTCCGGACTGTGCTGTTGACGTTTTAGATCTGGATCTTTTAACTGGAAAACTGAAAATGAAGGCACATTGTCTGGATTTTAACATTTCTGAATCTCTTCATTATCTCATCTCATCAGTCCCTTACCTGCAATGGACATGTCAGAGATGCTTTGTAAAGGTCGGCGCTTGTTGCGTGGTATCACCTGGTTTACAAAGACATGCTGCAGGCTAGCTGGCAATTAGATGTGCAGTCCTTGACTTCACTTTACAAGCTGGTTACTTGCTATACAAATGACGGGCTGTGTGTACTTGCTAGGGTAGTGATTTTGTGTGAAACCCCAAGATTCCTGCACTGCTCCATGGTCTCCATTATTTTACAGTAGCTCCTTCTGCATGCAACAATTTTATAAGTATTTGAAGTGTTTTTAGGTAAGATTGGGCACCGCTCCCCAGTTTTGTCTGACCTGCAAGCAGTCAGCCATGTCGCATTCCTACTGTCAATTTTCTGATACTCAAGATCTTAAACTCCCGTGTGCCTTTATTTTGGATTGCACTGCAGATTCCCAGTTTCAGGATATCTGTGACCACATGCTCGGCTGCAACACGTTTTCCCTCCTAGTAATTATTGATTGAACCGGTGTCCTGTTGGCATCTCTGCTGAAAGCTTTTTGATCGTTTCAGCCGGAGACACCGCAGGTACAGATCAATGCCGTCCCAGACACCCCCACAGAGGAGGACATTGCCGAAGCAGAGAGGCTCAAAACAGACGGTAAGGACTCTGTCATAGTCCTGCAAAGAATTTTTACTATGTGCTCATTACACATTACAGAGCATCAAATTATGCGTTTTGTGGCTTATAAGAATGGGTGTGTTTTTGATTACTGAGCTATTCCATTAAAACATTTTTTCAGATCCAATAAAAAAAGGTTGTTCTCTCTGTCACTTGTCGTTTTAATTTTGAACCACAGTTTTGGTATTACCAGGCCTTGTAGGGTTTAGTGTTTTTTGTAAACACTACCAGGAAGACCAACAATCTGTTCGTCTGTGATAGGAATGTGAGGAAGTATTGATATGGGAAAGGGTATAAAATACATCTGTGCACTTTTTGGGGGGGTTTACCCACATTCCACATCCAACTTTACAGAGCCTGTGCAGATCTTCAAGGATGAATGGGCAAAACTCCCAAATCCAGATGTGTCTGTATCACCTTTGCACAGGAAAGGAAGACTCAAAGCTATAATTGCTGCAAAAAAATACTTTTAACAAAGTATTGACTCAGGGCTCTGAATACTAAAGTAAACCAAGATATTTTTGTTTTTCATTTTCGTGAATTGTTACACAATAAAAATATTTTTTCCCCTTTAAATTGTTGCATACCTTGTGTGAATCAAGGTGGTGGGGGATTATTTCAATGCATTTAAAAGTCTGCTCATAAGACAGCACTGCAGTTGTGCAGCGCTGTTTCTAAAGCACTGTATGTGGTCTGAAAGTAGATTTTGATTTTTCACTGTTCAGATCAAGCGAGGACCAAGCCCTCAACTTAAAGAATCTCTACACTGCGCTGCCATTGATACAACAATCTTTGACTTGAGCTTAACATCCTGCTTCGGTGTTTTCCCCAGTTCCCCATCTAAGTTGATTTGATTTGCTTTGCAGGTAATGACCAGATGAAGGCAGAGAATTTTGGTCCTGCAGTGGAGTTCTACTCAAAAGCCATAGAGCTAAATCCCCGCAATGCGGTGTACTTCTGCAACAGGTATGGCCTGAAAGCAGTACTGGTTTGGATGGTTTGGATTTAGGAACGGCCTATTTAAGCTGTTCCTAAAGAACACAAGAAGGACCCCCATATCTCAATCTTTAGATTTAATAAAAACAGATGGTGTATGCCAAGTATGTACGACTCTCAGAATAAATACTTTGAACCCTATTTGGCTGTTCAGTGCGTCCTTAACTTCTGGAGTGTCTGTATTGTTTGTAGGGCTGCTGCATACAGCAAGCTGGGGAACTATGCTGGAGCTGTGCAGGACTGTGAGCAAGCCATCACTATAGACCCCAACTACAGCAAAGCCTACGGCCGAATGGGGTAGGAACAGCCAGATCCTGGCCTTTTCTATCCCTCTGTCTGTTGCAGACCAGTGACCTAACGTTGAAACTGTGAGACAACGTCTGTGACAAACGCATTGCAATTTTCGTGTCTTGCCATGTTTGAACATCCAGGATATTTTCTGGAAGTTTTTTTTGTCTCCTTAGTTCATTCTGTGCTTTCTCTGAAAAGTGTACCTTCCACCCTGTCTCCTCAGGCTCGCTCTGGCTAGTTTAAACAAACACTCAGAAGCGGTCAGTTACTACAAGAAAGCTTTGGAACTCGACCCTGAAAACGATACCTATAAATCCAACCTGAAAATAGCAGAGCAAAAAATGAGAGAGATGCCAAGTCCGGTAAGTTTAGATGAAATTGTTTTTTAAGAAGCATATCATCCCAGTATGTTTGGTTTCCAGACGTTATACTCTTACAAGATGACAACATTGAGACAAATGCATTAATAGCAAAGACTTGAAAGGCTATTTAATAGAATTAAAATAGATGCCCTTCTAAAAAAATATCAGATTGCCGAAATGAGCATGTGGTTAGATAATTTGCAGACATATGCATGCGGGCAAGGGTAAATCTGAGATCTTGCTGAGCCAGGTTTTGGTAAATAGGTATCGAGCAATTTTTTCTCATCCCAGAGAGAGAGAGAGAGAGACATCTCCCCACCTATCACCTGTCAGATCCATTCCTTCGTGGACATGCTTCACTCCATAGTGCCATACAGGACAATTGGCAACAAATACCAGAACATCATCTCTCCTCAACTCGCATGTAAGCTTGCAGTTTCCAGAGTTAGCTGATGCGGGGAAGGCTCAGGAAATGCTGGTCAGATCAAGCCCAGCCGAGGCGAATGGAACCCGGTCACTTTAGGGTTACTGCTTGAGCAGTCCTTGACACAGCTGACTAGTGACTGAAACAGCAACATGTGGTCTACCACACTTTGTTTTTTCATCTCCAGATCCATAGTCTGAAGAGTATTGATTGCATGGATTGGTTGTGCACTCCTTCTGATTCTTAATGGGTCACCTGAGTGCATAGCATTATTGGACACATGGCAGTTGACTGTGTTTTTTTTTACATTTACTAGTTTAATAACCTGATATTGAGTAATACAGACAGTTCAGTTACAGAAGAGTGGTTTTCTATTTTCCACATTTCAGGCGATAAGGTGAAATGAGAGTTCTTTTGCATTTGTGAAAATGTTCCAGTAGTATTAACAGCATTATTAATAGTAACAGTATTAATAGCAATAGAAAAGACAGGAACAGTAGCTGAAATAATGTTCATTACCTGAACCACAATTATTGCACAGTGGTGATGGCTGCATGAGAAGATGCTAAGGTCTTGCAATATGATTGAAATAGTCAAAAGCAAGGTAGTTGGGGAAAAAAAACCAACAGAAGCCCAAAAGATAAATGAGTTTCTAATAACTGTATATTTTACATATGTTTGATATATATTTTGTATTAGAAAGGAACAAGTACAGGTTTATTCCATTCTGAAAAGAAAGGAAAAGAAAAACAATGTTTCGGCTGTGGAGCCTTCTTCTGGTGTGAGGTGCTGTTACTGCGCATGCTGACGACTTGCTTGAACTATTTTATATAACTGCTGTTTTTCTTAATAATTTACTCCCTCTTGATGAATTTAGACTTCCAATATTCTCAGGCTCATGATGAAATAAGGGAACGGTGAATTCTTCTGCTTGGCTCAGTATCCTGTTTTCTTCTTTTAGACAGGGGGAATGGGTGGAGCTGACCTAGCAGGATTGCTTAGCAACCCTGGCTTCATGAACATGGTAAGGTCAGAATGCCTATAGATCTTTTGGGTTGGGATCCATGTGGAGTTTTAACGCATGGTACTGCAACTACTGAATCACTCGGTTTACAAACGAGCAAGGTCCCTCGCTGTACTCGGGACACTTCATACTCTGAACGGACGGTATTCCTCAATATGTTAACGGGTTTGGAATACCTCTATTGGTGTTCCACAATAGTCAATCGAGTTTGTCCATTGTATTTTACTTACTTGTAATTTACTAATTGTGCAGAGTAGACACTTTACATTTGAATAGATTTCTGCAAATGGATCTCTCGCTAATAAAATGATTCCTAAAAGGAAATATTGCTTGATCTTGATCAATATATTGATACAATTTTCAACATCCAGTGAAGCACATTTGCTTTAAAATAATAATTCCTTTCATTTATATATGTATAGTTTATAATCCATTTAATCCTAAAGGGTTGCAAGCGCTTCACATAAAGAAGGGGTTTCAGATTCAGGGGGTCAGGCAGAAAAGCAGGATGTTGCTTCTCCAGTTGAATTAAAACAGGTGTTTTCTTCCTCGTTTTTTGGGGAGGGAAGCAGTGTGGAAGCATAGTTCCTGCTGATGTGCGGTGGGCAGTTGTGTTGTATGTTTGAAATTGTTTCTTCGGATCCACAACACCTCTGTTGTCAACAGCAAACTAGAAGGACTGAAAGTGTTCTGAAGCAATGATTTTGACTCCTCATCAGTTTTGGTTAAACTTAAACTAAGTTAAAACTTAAACTTAAACTAAGTTTCTATTAAGACCTATTTTCAGAAGCTTGCCAAAATGAGGATCAGATTCATTGAAAATATTGTATCTAAATAGGTGCTTTTCAAACCTGTCTTGCAAAATGTGACTCCTCAAATTTTATTTGCATTATTTAAAAGATTGCAAGTTTAAAATTGCTTGATACAGTTTTCAGGTTTTCAGGCTTATAGGCAGTTAAGATGTCCTTATTTTGAACTCTTGTTTCCCTCTCTTTTAGATTAGCACTTAAGGTTAGTATTTACTGTAGCTGTTAGAGTCAGAAATGATTTATATTACAGTCTGTAAAAGTCAGGAAGTGTTCTGGGAGCTGATTTTCAGCAGGTATCACCCAGTAGATTAAGGCTTTATCTATTCGTAGTGAACATTCTAATTGTGATTGGTGTTTGATTTCAGGCATCAAGTCTGATGAACAACCCTCAAGTTCAACAGCTGTAAGTCCTTTTAAAACAAGACTTTATTTATATTCACCCTACTTTGTTCTATAAGCCACTCTGTTATGGCTCAAGTTGATATTACGTGTCACATGCATGTGGCAAGATATAGGTGTGTATTTTTTTCAAAGGGGTTTGAGCCTATCACAAATAACGGGCTATTTGAGCAAAATATTAAAATATTAAATATAAACGTGTGATAGTTCTAGTCTAAGCACAAGTCTAAGATCTAGATAGCTAAAAGAGTTGATAATTTACTATATTAAAGTGTTTAATCACCACACCTGGGAAGCTGTGCATGAAAATGTTTCAAAAAGTTTTTTAAAAATGGTAACATTGGACTTCAATAGAATATGCCAAAGCTAAACTAACAGATAAGCCAGTAACATGAAGACAAGAGGCCTTGTGAATACAAAGTCCAAATCCCTCATCAAATGTCTAAGAAAGTAAGGTACAAAATGGTTTAATTGCATGCTCATTTCTGCATGAAGTTCTGTATTATAACTCATTCTCAGCACACCTGCTTTTGCAGTGTGAAAGATGTGACTTCAGTGTCTTTAGATTGGTATTTTATAAATAAAAATTGTATGCCAGATTTTCATTGTCCTATGTTTTGGTGTGTGGACCTCTCCCTGTCTTGGGGACCTGTCTGTGCTTTTCCAGAGGTTCATTCATGCTTTGATAATTCCCCCCCCTCTTCTTGCTCTGCAGGATGTCTGGGATGATGTCGGGGGCCTACGGGCCAATGGGAGCAACGGCAGGAGGCGGCCCAGGCCCAAATGACCTCTCTGGGCTTATCCAAGCGTGAGTGTCCAGCAGCGTTATCAGCTCAGCGCCCCTTGAGCTGAAATTTGCAAACTGGTGTCAGTCAGGCTGTACCAATAGAATATGGTACCACATGTTTAAGGTGCAGTCCTGTGAGTCAAAGTTTCTTGCAAATACCAACCGAAGGGCATCTGATTTTGCGTATTTATTTCCTGTATAGGCAAGGCTGGCTTTTTTTAAATGGGTCTGCACTGTCTTTCTCTGTGGACGCCTTTGGGGAAATGGTCTTGTTTCAGAAGGCGTCGGCTAAGTGCCTCTCCTGATGCTCTCCTGCAGGGGTCAGCAGTTTGCCCAGCAGATGCAGCAGCAGAACCCAGAGCTGATTGAGCAGCTGAGGAGCCAAATCCGGAGTCGGACGCCGAGCGCCAGCAACGAGGAGCAGCCCTGACAGGGACGGGTGAGGGAAGACCTGCTCTTTACCCCACCTGTAGGGCACCAGTACTCGTCACCACAAACATGGGTGCATACTTTACCCCTTCGGTTTTTTTGTCCCACTCACACAAATTACATGCACAGTCCTGTTTTAATGTACTCTATTAAAACAGGATATTTCGGGGGGGTTTTTCCCCCCAATAGCTTTGTAAAATTAGGTTGTACTGTATGACATGTGGGTCCCAGTGAGTAATATTGCTGGCTCTCAGAGCTGGGGCCCTGGACCTGGGGTGCTGTCTGTGTGGAGTTAGCTCCAGGTTATGTAGGTTTTCTCCAGGTGCTGTGTTTGTTCCCCACAGCTCAAGGCCAAAGGTCAGTTGGCTTTACATCTTGCTGGGATGGGCTATAGCTCCCCTGCGTCCCGGAATTGGCGGAAGCAGTTAGAAAATGGATGGATATATTAAATGTGATCTCGCCTATGACTTAATTTGTTTTATTTTGGTATTGTGTATCCATTGACTGCTTTTTTTGGGTGTGTAAATGTGCGAAATAGTTTCCATATTTCTTATTACAGAAAAAGAGACATGAAGTTAATTTAACAAAGTGTTGATTTATCAGATATAAAAAAACTGAATAAGCTCCACTTAGAGTGCAGTTGAAAGTGTCTAAAGTAAATGACCTATATTACATTAAATCTAGGTTGGTCCTGAAACTAAATTGGTAAGGACAAACCCAAATATAAAACCCTGAGAGTCACAATGGGCTCTCCACTGTTATTGTGTCATCTTAATGTGAGAAACTAAATGTTGGAGCAAAGGTAAGGCAGTGTGATCTACTTATATTTTGTGCAAGATTCAGTAGTCTCTTCAACACTGGATTTGAAAGTGTGTGTGTGAAAACATCACAATTCAAGTCTTATAACACTGGGTATCCTTTTTGCCTGTAAGAGGCTGTGATCAGAACAGCCAAAACATTGCACAGCTGCCTAAATGTAAGCAGTCAAATTTCTAATATAGCAGCGTTACAAATGATCATCGTGCCCCCGGTCACATCCACCACAGCAGACACTGCAGGCCATAGCAGAGGTCACCCTTCACAGCTCTTTGATCTCATGACGCTCTTGCTGTGATAACCTTCTGCTTAACCTTATTCTTTGAGGTAAATTTGTAAATTTGCTGCAGACCTTATCCCAAGCCGCTGCAGCTCACCTCTGTGTGAAAGGGACACAGGATGTGGAGATACTTACAAATAGAGAAACAGTCAACAAGAAACATGGTACAGCGAGGAATCAGTAACCAGATGTGATTTTTTTCTTTACATTAATAAAGGATACATTTAAGTATTCTGTTTTTTATCCAAATATGAAGACTTCTTAAAACATGACTTGCTTCTTTTTTTTTTTGCAGGTGGGGCTTTGTGCGATAACACTTGAAGACAGGCTGTCCCTTATTTTTGTTTTGGATTTGATCGCAACTGTAGGACAAGGAAAAAGAATTTTTGCATGTTGGGCCCCCAAATTTTTGTTCTTTCTTCCCAGTTAAACCACAAAATGAAACTCGGATGTAAGTAGAGGACATGCCCTCTGATTGAAATCATCTTGGAGCCTCCTCTGGATTTGAACACCTCCACCCTGTTGTTCTCTCAGCTGCATAATGGCAGTTTAAGCTCATGATTGTTGTGTGTAGCCGATCATATCCAGCGGACTTAATCTTGTAATTTACAATTGTTGTCTGGACTATCTTCCAAAAAACACTTGTCGCATTTGTTCTGTGGACTCACTACAGAAATTTCTGTATGTAACCTTATTCTTTGAGGTAAATTTGTTCATTTTTAAGTGATGCAGAAAAAAGTCCACAGTATTGAAAACTTTATTTATACCGGTGTAGTGTAGTCAGTAAATATGTGCAGAAAATGCTTTTTGAAATTTAAGGAAAAAAATAAATATCGGTCTTGAATCATTACTACCTGTTGTCAAGGGAAAATCTTGGAGACCTTCAACTTGAAATGCAGAGATAAAGCTGTTTCTGCTGGAAAAACGACATCAAAACTGGTGCCAAACTCTCTGGTTTCTTCCGTTTTTTTTTTGTTGGTTTCTTCGTGATCAAGAGAGAATGTGAACCTTCAAGGATTGGGAGACCTTGCTGTGCTGCAGTGCAGAAATCTGTTTCTGCACTGTTGGTTGTGCTATGTCAGAGTTCCCTAGCTTGGTGGCCAGTTGCACAAAGTTAAACACCTCCTGCATTTCCCTTCATCATTTTTTGGTTTAAGGATTTTGCACTGAGCATCTAGACACATTAATGTCAATATCATATTTAAGGGAAATATCTGTGTTTAATTCTTAAGGTATATAGGACATGGACTTGGTCCACAGGATCCCCTGTCTTAATTGCATTGGCTAATTAACTAATTTACTTATCTCTATTGCTCTAATACCATTACAGCTTTTCCAAGGTTGGACAGGAATGGAAATTATGTGGGGTTTAAAGTGCCCTCTCGTTTGATTTAGATCTGGAATTACAGCACTGGAAGTCGATACTAAAAATGCTTTGAATAGGCGAGACTGATGTTATTCCCTCTTGTATTTCTAAATCCATTTCTGGGTCACCTCCTAGGGGCTGGTAACTAACAAATGATTGAAAAAACCTGAGGACAGTCAGATGCAGTGTGGTTTTCTCAGTGCTTTTGTGGATATGAACAAGTAGGGTGTTTCTGAAGCCAAGGACTGAAGAAAGGCAGCTTCATTAAGGGGATTAACCCTCCATCCCATATGCTTTATCCATCACAGGGTCGCGGGGGAGCTGAACCAAATATGGCACAGACACAGTGGCTCTCTAGGATCAGGATTGGATTCTCCTGTTGTGGGATTTCTAAATAATGTCTAGATATTAAGATTTCCATTTCAGAATGGGCTGCATGGTGGCATAGTGGTCAGCATCGATGCCCCTCAGCACTGTGGCTCTGGGTTCAATTCCAGACCTGGGGTGCTCTGTGTGGAGTTTGTATGTTCTCCCCCTGTTCTCATGGGTTTCTACCAGGCGTTCCTGGTTTCTTTCCCACAGTCCAAGGGCAGATGGTAGATTAGACCCTGTTGTCAATTGCTCCAGTCCTAGATGGTGCATATTCACTGTTTGCCAGCCAAATTGCCACCGTGATGATGGTGACTGTGTACTTTTCTGACAACCTTCATTTCATTTTCTGCAAAGAATACTTGAAGAAATAAGCATAGGTTTTGGATTTCCTTTGCTGCTATTGTCCACTGGGGGAGGGGGGCTTGACGAATGCACAGTACACAGTGTAACCATAATCTGTCATTGTACTGCACTCCTGCTTTTAAATGTTTTACAAAGAAGGAAACAAAAACCTTAAAGATCCAAGTCCTTATTGTCAATTCTTTTGTATGTGTGTGAGCCTGAGCTTTTGTTAACGTGTTCATAAATGTTTCCCTGTAACGTTATACATACTGATGCAATTTGTGGACAGATCCTGCAGTGCAGTGGGTGGAAGACATGCCCAGCGTGTAGCAGTTAATTTCTCGGACAATATTAAGGATGAAGAAGGGTTGAGGCAATAAAACACTGGAAAAACCAGCTTGACAAGTTACAGTGGAATCCATCATGGGGATTTATAGACACTTCTGTGACTGGCCCACAGCAGATACATCTTGGGTGACTGCATTGAGAAGCAAGGGGATGGATTTACAAGTGGGCGCTATTGTAAAGTAAAATACTACAATTCCCTCCATTACTGGATGAAGCTGTGTATGGATATTGCTTATTGCTTATGAATGTCCATGTAATACGTGGAATGCAATTTCTTGTTTTCTGTGTGAAATCAGAGAAAGCAGTTCAAGCAGTTGGTTAATGTCTCCAGGCGTGTTAAATTGTCCCCTATAAGAGGCTGCTTTAATGATCTGTGCCAAGTCTAGCTCGCTGTGATTCTGTGGGTGTTTGGTCCATGACAAGTTTCTTGCAAATCTTCAGGAAACGTAAGCTGATGATTTACAGAATTTCTGCATGTTGTTGCTCTGAAGAAGGAAAAGGTTTCCAGAATTTCTGGCCCTTGTCCCAAGTGGACTTTTTGCAGGCAGTTCAGTCAAATCCCCAAATCCCAACATTTTCTCAGTGGAGTGGGGTCACATCGATTTTGCCTTCTTAGCTGGGATCTTAACGAAAGGTGTCAAAGTCCAATCCAGATGGTCTTCTTAATTTTGAATGATTTAACTGACAAGAACTGCAAACACTTCTGTGCAGGCCTGGGGAGACTTGGCAGCTCCAGCTGTCTCTCAAATCATTAGCTTTAAAACATGTTTGGAAAAATGACTGTACTGCTTATCCAATCATTCAATTGGTTAATTAAGAGGATTAATTGAAAGGAATGCCAGAATACTGGCCAGGGTCACAAGTGTCTTCAACCCTCCGTATATACCTCCTTTCCCAGAATTTTTACTGTACAGCAATCTGCACACTTGCTGTGAAGTCAAACTAAATGTGTTTTGTACAAAGGACATTACTAAAAAAAATACCTTCCAGATGTTTCTGTGTTCCTTGCTGTTTGTTGAAGTGAGTTTTTGTTTCACACATGCACTTATATAATTGAATTTTTCATAGTGCATGACCTTTTTGATGTGAAAGGTTTTCAAGGAACCAAATGAAGCTGCTTGGAATCAGTTTAGTTTTTGTCGTTTTCAAATTAACATCTTGCGATTCTCCTGGGACGGTGTCACACTCACACATGAATTATCACAGCTGTGGTTGTGGCCAACATTCATTTATACTGTATTTTAATATTGTAGTGGATCTGTCTGACATTTTCTATTATGAAAATACAATAATTCTATAAAGGGATGACTTCACTCGTTCTCTCATAGTTATGATGGAACAGGAACTCTCAAGTTGCAGTTTTTACCAAACTGGCATAATGAGACTATAAAATTAGATCTTCCTTTTCTTTTTCACTGTATCTAACTTGGTGTCCTTTGTAAAGTCATAGGTGATCTATGGAAATATGGTTTCTTGGATGCAGTTCAGATGTTTGTTGACTTTCTTTGTAAATGGATGTTAGAATATACTCATTCACTGCCCAAAAGTATTGAGGTGGATGGCTTGAAACATTTGACAGTACTTGGGAAAGAGATAAGCAATAGTGTTGATATTGTGCACAGTGGAAAAATTCTTTTTCAGCCCATATCCTGTATGTTAAAATGGTCTGTTGCTTTTGCTTTTCCTTTGTAATAAAAGTTTTGTTACCATTTGGGAAGATGTGGTCTGGTTGCTGGTAGAACAAACTGTCTCCATTTAAATACAAATAGATTCACCAAAGAAGTGAAAAATAAGAGTTCAAAAGAATATTACTAGTACTGACAGAGGCACATGAGCTGTAGACTGTGACTAGATTTACAACTGGGACTAAAGGTTTTTTGTAAATTTGAAATAATGGTAAGGATTATTTTGGTAAAATATGACAAACTGCAACACCAAGGATGCTTTTCCTCCATGTGAAATAGGATTTTAAAATAAAATATAAAATAACAAAGTGTAAAATTAACACTTCTAAAGCCGTACTTCATTAACACACCTTCCCTATGTGGATTCCCCCTCCTGGCTCGTGAGTTTGCACCAGACATCCACAACTCTGAAGAAGTGTTTTCTGTTTATTCTAAATTCACACTTAACTTCCCTGTTCTGCTACACTCCTTTAGGGGTGATCAGTGGCGTACTGCAGGGATCTGTCTTAGGACCATGTTTTTCTTAATTTATATCAATCTGTTGTAGACTAAGTGTCAAACTCACTTCCTGTAGGTGCCTGGTGTCTTGTTTCTTTCCAACCTGAGCTGTCAATTAAACAAACTCATTATTTTCTTAGAAATATATGGTGCATTTCTTAAGGGTTTTTACAGTTAATAACTCCACACTATTGCTTCATTAATAGCATAGCTACCAATAAGACACTGTGGAGCCAACTTAGAAAGATTACAGTCATGCAAATGATGACAGCCGCTGTGTAAGTGAGAGCTCAGATAAAATGAAAATCACTAGGTCTGTGCATGTTCTCCCTGTGTTTGCAGGTGTTCCCTGCCTTGTGTCCATTGCTTGGTGAGACAGGCTCTGGCTTCCTGCAGCCCTGTATTGGATAATGTGGGTAGGAAATGGATGAACGGACTAGTGAACTTTGCATAAAATGACTTAATAGGGGGAAATTAAAAAGGTTCACCCAGGACAGGGGAAACCCTGCCTCTTTAGTATTTGCCATGCAAATTTAACATAGATAAGTGGATAAGATAAGATAAACAAACTCCAAATTTCTATATTAATAGTTTAGGCAGGAGGAGGGAACCAGAGGTTGAAGAAGAAGAAAATGGGTCTTTTTGTTATATTATGTGTTTTAGACAATATGAAGCAGAAAGGTAAACCACATCGACAGTGATTCAAAGTGCAACAGAAGACAGAGGAAATTACGGCCATGGGCTCATTAAACTGACAGCGGGGGACAGGGGCGGGTTTCTCAAGAATCACTAGTCCCGTTAAGATTTTTCGTTCAGTTCAAATTGAATTCTACAGCTTTGGCAAGGTTATTACACCACTGGAAGCACTTTTTGTAAATATTATTACATTAATTTTTGTTCCAATCTTACAAAAATAAATAGGGTAGGCTGTGGTTCAAACCTGTATAAAGCCTGACTTCTGAATGTCACCACCGTGGAACATACAAGAGAGATGTTCATTAGCAAATCTTAAAAGCTACCACACACGCAATCGTTGTACAGCTGTCAAAATGTAATATGTGCGTTTCGCAGGATCACTTTAATTTGGTGGTGACGAATTATCCTGGTAGGCTTTCGTTACAACACGGTGTTTTGTCACTGTGGAGTATTGCTTGCAGAGTGGAACTACATTTAACACACCGAGTACATTCAGGAACGATTTCAGGCTGTCAAGGGGGGGTCTATTTTTGACGACGCACAGGAGGGTGAACGACAGATTGATTGACAGCAATCCCACAAATCGAGACGCGAGGAATTCGTGCGCTGTCCAATGGTGATCGACCAGAGGGAGGGGCTTACAGATCAGGTGCGCAGAAGGCGGAAGGTTCGCTGAAGTGGAAAGGTGAGTTGTGTATCAAGTCGTTAGAAAATATCTAAATGTTAACGTTGATTATTTTTCTATATAAATAAGACAGTGATAACCAACATCAAGTTAAGTAAATTGCAATTCTGATTTAAAGCTCACGGATTACATTTCTGTCATACAATGAATGCAAGTGAGCTTTTCTGCAGTTGCTATTTGCTTTTTTCTTAAGATTACAATATGAATAACTGTAGCAGCGTGTATAAATATCATAGTAGGTATCAGTATTAGTAGCAGTGTATATGTGGTCATGTATGCGTCCTCATTCTACCAGTTAATCGCGTTGAAGTTTTTAGTTTTTCTGTTTGGTCACAGGTATGTTCATGGTTGTAATGACATCGTACAAACGTGCAGGTAATTTACAGATTGGAAGATGAAATAAGACGGTTTTAATTAAATGCCGCCAGCAATGCTGGATCCTAATTTGAAACGTTTCTAAGTCTGAGAAAATGCGTAGCGATCAGTTTTCGCAGCCGGGAAGCGAAGTCCGCTGAGCGATAAAAATGACGGTGACAGACGAGAGGCTCTGAACGCTTGTCAAACCCTGAGCGATGATTTCGCATATCGGGATTGTATCGTGAAAGGGGATTAACTTTAAAATGCTGGTCTGTGAATTACTGTGTACTGCAAGTGTGGTACAACATTATGGAACACGAAAGCACTAGCAGGCGGTATTTAACGATTCTTCATGTCAAAGCAAGTCTGACCTGTTTGCAAGAGAGTAGTAGCTAGTTGGAGCTGAAGCTGTATGTCAGCTTTAGTGACTGACACTAATAACTATAACAACAGACATCTCGTCAAAATAAAAACAAAAACACGAAATGTGTGGCGACGTGATGTTTTTTTGATGATGCTCTTGGGGATCTTTCCATCCGCGTTTGGAAAGTTTTCTGCAGATCCAATAATACCCATTAAACACGCTGCATCTGGTGACCTCAGTTACTGATTAAGGACACCAAAGGTCTTAAAATGAGTGGTCTCTACTCTTCACATTGCCGACACTTCACTACGGACACAGCTCGAAAGGGGAACAGGGAGTGCAGATCGTATCTGTAACTCGGTAAAATTGACATAAAGTACGTCCAGAGAGTTCTCGGACACCGCACAAACTGCCTTCGCAGACGTGTGCTGCATAATGGTATATGTACCACTGCTGATAATGGTAGTCATTATGCTTTTTTCTCTGCTTCTTGCATACCTGTATTTTGTAAAAAAAAATAGAAATGAAGATTTTAGAGCAGGTAGCCCATTAAGGTTCTTTATGTACTGTATTCCGATCTATTTCTTTTTGTGTTCCCAGGTTGGGTAGTTATGCTCCCTGCTGTCCCAGAGAGGAGAGCTGGCCTTGTTCTCTCCTCTGATCCCATGTCTGAGAGGCTGGGCAGCTGTATCCCCAGCGCCTGATCTTTCACCCAGCACCTGTCCGTCCGAGTGCCCCCCCCCTCTCACCATGGACATCGTGGTGGCCAAGGTGCTGTGCCTGCTTGGGGTCTTCCTGCTCATGATGGGTGGCGCCCTGATCCCTGTGAGGGTCATGCAGGCAGACTACGAGAAAGCTCAGCGCTCCAGGAAGGTCCTGGCGCTCTGCAACTCTTTCGGAGGAGGCGTCTTCCTGGCCACCTGCTTCAATGCTTTGCTTCCTGCCGTGCGGGGGAAGGTAAGGCTGGAGTCATGGCTGCCTGGTGCAGGAGGAACTTTTCTGTCGCCTCTCAGGTGCCGTTGATACCGAGCCGCGCTCTGGACTGGACTGGACTGGACTGGACTGGCACCAACGTTCTGCTCTGGACTGGACTGGACTGGACTGGCACCAACGTTCTGCTCTGGGCTGCTTTGCTTTTAAGTGCAAAGCTGGGGGTGTTTAAGATGTGAATTTGCTGGATCAGTAAAAAAGGATCACATCTAATTAAGTGGTTTTCTCTTTTTGCAAAGTAGAAAACGTAAAAATGTTGCTATTAGTAACAATAACAATTAAGCAATTATTTTCTGCATTATTGCTAATCTGATGGTTTTTAATGTCTGCTTGAAATAGAGACTTAAATGTTTAAATAAATAGAAACTAAATTGTGCTCCAGAACCATGAAGACTTACTTAAATGTCAGTGTTCTGGGAGAACTGAAGAATGGCATTTAATGCAGTCACCTGCAACGTATTGGTACCCTTGATAAAGATGAGCAGAAAGGACTGTATACAAATAAACAAGACAGGTAGTGAGCTATATTTAATGAACAAAAATATGGCAATTGCTCAGAGAAAAAGTTTTTTTCTTAACAAATAATATTATTTCTCAAAAAGATAGGGGTCAAAAAAAGATTCTTATAAATAAAATGAAACAAAATTAAATCTGCATTTACATTCTACTTTTAATGTTAATCTCAGTCTTAAGGAAAATACTTTTTGGCTTCCTGTTTCACTGGGGTGTAAAAATGAGGTAACACATGTAAGATCCATCACCATTGGGAAAGGCAAAGAACTCATACAGGAAAAAAGACAAACGGATGTCGACCTTCATAAATCAGTGAATGGGTAGAAAAAAGCCCTAAAAATCCCAGTTACCACTATGAGGGCATTAAGAACTTTTAAACCACTGGAACAGTGGTACACAAGCCTGGTAAAAGACACAAGTACAGTATATGTGTTGCCCCCACATATAGTAGGCCTCAGAAGCAGAATTACAGAACTTATTTGCATCTTGGGGTCACAACGTCTCCTGTTTTACATTTAGACGCCGCCTTTATGCCAACAGCTATTTTGAAGGGCTGCAAATAAACTTTATTGAGAGCAACCAACAGACCTCTGCACCGGGTGTTTGCTAAATGTCACAGGCACTTGGAGAGGGACTGGATGCTTTGGTCGGATCAGACGGAAATAGAGCTCTTTGGTCACACGCACCAGTATTGGCTTTGGCCTCGAAAGAAAGATGTGTATGTTGGAAAGAGTTTATTTTTCAGGTGGCTATGGGAGCACATAAAACACTGAGCGGACAGAAGGAGTGAAATAGAAAAGCCATGTTGTCTCCCTCTTTGCTTTTACATTAGCTTAGTCAGAACTACTGAAGGTCTTCAAGACTTCTCAGCCCTGTCCATTTATTTAAAATTGCCTCACTGTCCTTCCCCAGGTGAATGAGGTCCTGAAGCTGGTGAGCATCCAGACAGATTACCCCTTGGCTGAGACCATGATGATGCTGGGCTTCTTCCTGACGGTGTTCGTTGAGCAGGCGGTGCTGACCTTTCGAAAGGAGAAACCCTCATTCATCGACCTGGAGACCTTCAACGCGGGGGGCTCGGAGGCAGGCAGTGACTCGGAGTACGACACGCCCTTCATCGCCCCTCCCCGCGGCGCCAACGGCAACCACCACCATCACCACGGGCACCTGAACCCGTCGGAGCTGGCACGCGCCGGGCCCCTGCGCCTCGCCAGCCTTGTTTTCGCCCTGTCCGCCCACTCTGTCTTTGAGGGCCTGGCTCTGGGGCTGCAGGAGGAAGGTCCGAAGCTAGCCAGCCTCTTCCTGGGTGTAGCCATCCACGAAGCCCTGGCAGCCATAGCTCTGGGAGTAAGCATGGCCAAGTCTTCCTTGCCCATGAGGGACGCAGCCAAACTGGCAGCCACGGTCAGCTTGATGATCCCGCTGGGCATCGGGGTGGGCATGGGCATCGAGACCGCTCAGAACCTGGCGGGCAGCATCGCCTCGGTGGCGCTGCAGGGGCTGGCTGCTGGCACCTTCCTCTTCGTCACTTTCTTCGAGATCCTGTCCCGTGAGCTGGAGGACAAGCACGACCGCCTGCTCAAGGTGCTCTTCCTCATCCTCGGCTACGCCGTCCTGGCGGGCCTCGTCTTTATCAAGTGGTAGGTCCAGAGACTGCGAGCTGTTGACACGGGCAGCTTCAGAGCTAATACAAGATCCTTCCTCAAACAGGGCTGTCAGTTCATCAGCATGATGTCGTGAGACCAAAGACAAACACAGTGGGACAGCATAGCCCCCACATCACAGATCTCCTCCCTCATGAACTTCTTGACATTTGCTGGTCAAAAATGACTGTCGTTTGGAGCCTTCGTCCTAAATTACAGAATCACCACAACTTCAGTTTCTCCTGTAGGGCTGCTCCACAGTACACTCACAGTATCAGCTGTTTCTGCTGGTGGTCTCTTTTTGTCGCTCTTGGTTCTCTCCACAGTTGTCTTCTTTATGTTTCTGGTAGATCCAGGGAGACAGTCTGGACGAAGGCCTTTCTACAGCTCAGGTGCTGCAGCTCAGACGCTTCCTTGAGGCTCAAGGGCTCCACTTAGTCCATTCTACTGCACCTGTCTAGTTGTCTACTGATTTAGTGACGCACACTAATTGGCAGACCTGACTAATTCAGGTTCTTCATAAAACTACATCAAACTTAAGCATTTTGGGTTTCTGAGTGTATGAATAACTTTTACAAGAAATAGTCCAGGTTATGAAAGTGTGAAGCCACCAATGAATTTGATTTTTAAACATGTACTGAACAATACTGCTACTGAGCACAAGAAGAGAGAATCCAACTGTTACTGTGAATCATGTCATGTGAATATACTTGTGAATATATACATGTGAATATACTTTGTTTTCCTTCATTTTGTTTTGGCAGCTGGGCCTATTTAGAACACGTCTTTTTATTAGGGACTACTCACTGCTGTCTGAAACCATCCTGATGCTCGTTTTGGCTTAGATCATTCGTGTCACCTTAGAGAATGTAATTATATTGAATAAATAAGAGATCAATAAGATTGCCTTAGGGCGACATACAGTGTGATTGAATTGTTTTGCAACATTTAGTTGAGCACAGGTGCTAACAGATTCTTACAGCAGCTACTTGTCATGGGCGATTGAGTTGAACTTGAAACTGGAGTACGAGGCAACTCCCTGCAGACGCTCAGAATGGTGATTTCTGAGCCTGCTGAAATTGTGCATTGTTTGTCTCATTTAAATGAAATTAATTCTCCTGAAAAAAAGCACACCTGGGGTGCAATATCTGACAGTGACTTACTGTATAGTAGTGCACTTCCCTTGATACCTTTCCAGACAATTTCTGACTTTATCTTCTCGACACAAGATTATTTCTTTACACTTTCATTTATCACCCAGTAAAAACATATTTTCGTTATTGATGGTTAAGGCTTTTGTGTGCAGCTCGACTCCCCTGCTGGGCTTTTAGTTAAAATTTAACACTTTGTATATACCTGTAAAGCAACATAGGTTCATTTTTAAGAAGGTGTTGATATTTCTTGTTGAAAATAATGAAGGTATTTTATGTATTTATATGATTTGCAATACACTGGGTGACAAAATATTCTAGGATACATCTTGCTGCTAGAAAGATGGGTATATATATTTGTACTGATATGTTGTTCTGTAACAATCTTGTGGTTTTGTTATGTGTTCCTTCTGTTATCTGTAATTTATTTTTATTCATTGTTTTTACTTGTTTTTATTTTCGGTTTGGTTTACAAAATAGATCATTACAATCTGAAGAGGGGACAGAGACTTCTCTCTTTTTGTTAAGCAAACGTCTTCCCAGGTCCCATCATGCCTTGCAGCATATAGGTTCAGGATGGGGTCTCCTTCATTGCCAATCGGCAACAGGTCAGCATGGCACTGCAGTTTAGTGTGCGGACAGCTCACACCCTCACCTGAGCACAGCATGGGTCACATTCTCAGAAAGGGACATGATAATAATAATAATTAATAATTGCTTACACTTATATAGCCCTTTTCTGGACACTCCACTCAAAGCGCTTTACAGGTAATGGGGTCTCCCCTCCACCACCACCAGTGTGCAGCCCCACCTGGATGATGTCTTGTGTCAGTCTTCTGCACTGTTTCACTCAAACTCCCTGCCCTTCTAGCTTCTCGCAGTTGATCCTGCACTGGTCTCTGGGAATCTGTCAACACTTTGAACTGATTACTATGGATCTCTGCCACATAGACCATATTGTCACCTTGAAGTCCCTGTGGAATCTCAGAGGTCCCCTAGTTTTCTGTGAGGCTGTTGCACAAGGTTTCGGACAGGCCTGCTGTATCAAACAGACTGGCTTTATCTGTTAAACATTCGATCGATTCATGAGAATCTCCAAGCATTACAGTATCAGAGCACAGATCTGGATATTGGTATTTAAACGGCAGAACTTCCTATCAATCCAAATCCCAATCAGGGATTTATTTTTGTGAAGGAATACAAGAATTATTTTGTTACTCAGTTAAAAAAAAATGGTTTTGCTAGAATTTGGCTCTGAATGGTGTAGGAAGGTCTACTGTTTCACTTGATAATGGTGGAAAAAGTACGTAACCACACTTTAGTTATTGATACTGTAATACTTGGACTGGCTTGAGGACTTTTTTATTATTTTAGCACAGATATTTTATTCATGTCCATGTCCCTGGTTGCAAAAATATTGTCTTAAGGTACTTTGGAATTTGAATTGATACTAGCAATAGACTTTGATGTCTTCTAAATCTGCTTTTCAGTGTTTCACCTCTTAAATCCAACTAGCCAAAAAAGATTGTAAAAAAGTTTAAGAACTACAGGTTAATATTTCTTTGTCTGAGTACAACAGATTATTTTTCACTTTTTCCAGATCATTCATTATTATAATCATTTCTACTGTTGTATGTGTGTATATTGTACTAAGTGTAACAAAGTGGTAGGGTTTAGTGTCTGTGCTGCTGAACGTGATTAAATGTGATTAAATGTTATTTATTGTTCTGGTGGTGAGAGCATTATAGTCAGAATGTTTTTTTTAAATGTTTCTAGCCGTGGAAAACTATTTTTAGAAGTGAGCTTGATGAAAAGAGAACATTGATATTAGTTGATGTTAACAATGTTATGAGTCTACATATCGGGAAGGTGTCTTTTAATTAAGTTTACTGTTTCCAGGGAACTGTAGTAAATGGCAGTTAATTTCCAAGAGTCACTGAAAATGGCAGGGAAAACATTCTAGTTAAAGTAAAATTCAAAAATATATATTAACAGAACAACTTCCAGCAACTGCCCACAGAACTAGGGAAATCTTTTCATTCTAAATTATATGTACAAAGAAGATAAGAGGAACAGCTGAAAGCAAGGAGTTCACTTGTTTAGCTGATCATTTTAAAATTGTTTCAGGCCTTTAGAAATGGTTGATTTAAAGCTTTTTTTTATGAAACCTTCTGGACTGGGGCTCTTCTCCAGTGACAGGGTTGCAGACCCCTGCTCTAGTGCTTGGGCTGTTTAAAAAATAAAACATCTGTGGTTTTCTGACTTCAGGTGACATGCTAATTCTTACAGGTGTGAGGTAAATAGATGTTACACATTATTAGGGCAGTGCAGTATTTATCAGTGTCTTCTATAACAGATGAGTGTCGCGCAGTCTTGGTCTTGAAATTGCCCTGTGTCTTCTGATTCTCATTCCAACTAAGATTGTAAGCAATCGAGCTTATTGAATCCTTATTTAAACCAAAATTCAAATGAATACAATGAGCAGAACTCTGTTTCAGTTTGGTTTATAAATTAGTGCACCACTCTAGCTTTCTGAACAACTCTTTATAATGAATTTCCGGCACGCAGACGCAGGTGGGAGTGACGCTGTCACACCTGCTCAGAGCTCTCGGTGCTGCAGGGGCCCGCTGGTTCAGTTCAACCGCGTCATTGAGACAAAAGATCTAAGTGAGAGTAAATCTGAAACTCAGGATCTGGCACAGGTTTTCTTCCAATTTCTGATTTCGTTTTGTTTATTAAGAATTGAAACAGTTGTTAAAAATACATACACCCCATATAAATCTAGAGCTTGACGAGGTCAGACAACTAAGCTCGGTTGAAATAAAATCAAGGAGAAACAGGAGATGCTCAGACTGGGCCACGTGGTGACAAGTAGTGTAGTCACTGCTGTTCTCATTACATGCACTCCTTGTCTTAAAACCTTAATCCCAGTGTTTCATTTTGTGCTCTTGTTTTGTCATAGGAGACTTGTTAGACGTCTTAAGTCTGCTTTAAATATGTCCTTTAGACAGAATTTCATAAATGCGGTTATTAACTGGTATACAGTAGGAAACTAAAAAAAAATAAAATACATTTTGATGCTTTTAAAGGCACCCTTGATACAAGTTAATCGGTTATGGATTGTTTGTGGTGTAGAAGTGTCAATTATGTGAAGTAAAATGGAGGACATGGGTGGAACAAAAAAACATTTCTACCTTCGAAGATGAGGGTTGACACCCTGCTGGGTGGGGCCATGGTCAAAACAAGCTCTCTGTTAGGTGATGGAAATGAATCCTCAGGGAATTATCAGAACCCCCGTTTCCTGTCTGCTTCAGGGCTGGATTTCAAAACGAATTTCTGCTTGGTGGTCACCCAGAATCATAGCTCTGAGGCTCTGCTATTTCAATACTGGGCTCTTCTATTCTACTGCCAGGCTTGGGCACAAGCCTGGTTAAGTTAATTAGCTCCGTTGTGTATTTAAGGAGCTGACTTTAGCAAAGAACTGTACTGGAATTGATCAGAAGTCTTGGAATATGAGGGTTTTTACTTTCCTAGGAACACCCAAAAATATTTTAAGACTATCCATTTGCTTTAGATTTGGACTCTGACTTAGTACTTTCAAGAGTAAAATATTTTGCACATTATGTGCCAAATAACTAATCAAATTTCTTTGCCCTTCATGTAATATGTAGGATGAATCAGGAGATTTAGTTTGAATTTATTTATTGGGTGATTGTAGCTGTGATCCGCTCTTCAACAGGCTCTCTAAAGCCTTTAAGATTACCTTTGGTGAAGATAATATTAGTTGGTTGAAGACAGACATCGATTGACCTGTCAGATCTTTTTTTTCGGGCAGATATATTGTTAAAGTGTTCACTGTATGTTCATGTATAAATGTAGATCAGAATATCAGTATCACTGCTACAAGATTTGTGGTGAATGATTGATAGGAAAGGATGTGATGTAATATATATATATTTCTGTAACTATTATTTTTTAATATAGAATAAAGAAAAAGTAACTTCATGCCTTGACAAGCTATTTTCTTCACTATGTGTGTGTTTATGTAAATATTGGAAGACTTCAAGAGATCCTGGTAAACAACATAGTCCAGCTCACTAGTAATCTTTATTTTTAATCTAATCTTTCATCTACAAACTCAGTTTGTTTGTGTTGATAATGGTCCCAGATGGACGGATAATGCAAATGTAGATTTAGTTTCAAATTCTGCTTTTTTCCCTGCTGAGCTACACCTCTGGGCAATTTTTTTTTGCATAGTCTTGAATGTTAAACGATTCACAATTGACATTGATGTCATCTTTCTGTGCCGTCGGTGAGAGAAACGTTGTTGTGGTTGTTGTAGCTGCTGATTTAGAGAGTCCTTTCGAAGACTAGATTCATAGGGAACTTATTTGGTTGTAGTAATGTCTTTGGTCTGAGGGTTTCGTCCAGCCGTCCCGTCACATAGCTGGGTGACCTGGAGGCATGGCTTCAATCTTCATGTGAAGAAGGATTCCAGAACAGTTTCTGGGGCCTTTCTGAAGCTACGGAATGTAAAAGCAACACTTGTGAGTTCCTGTGAGCATCCAACTCCTGGCCATGTGGTCACAAAGGGCAATCCCCAAATCAGCTTAGCTGTCTCACTGCCAGCTTACCACAAGAATAGATACAGGGAGGGTTGTATTGTAACACAGCCTCAATCCTCTTACCTACAGCCAGAGATTTAGAATAAAACAAAGGCACAGTGAAAGGAGTAGTCACACATCCATGCACTACAGCCAATCTGTTTAGTCCTGAGTCCCAGCAGCTCAAAGCCTATCCCAGGAACACAGGATCCCAGGCAGGACAGCGACCTGATTGGGGTGCCAGTCCATCACAGGACCACACACGGACAGTGGTCTTGATTAAGAGACAGCAGCCAGTGGTCTTGAATAGCTTCCTGTCTTGTTTTTTTACTGAGGCCCATGCTGGGATTGCACACATGCATGTCTTGATGAGTCCCCAGTAGGCTTGCACAATGCTTGCTGTTAACAGTTTCCACGGGGGCGTTGTTCTTAAAAGGCAAGAAAGGGTAATATGAAAAATCGAGTAAAGACAATAGATAACAACAATGAGTAAAAAACCAATGTAATTCATTTAAACTCTAGAGTACCATGTCAGGCTGCATACCCAAGTTGCTTTTTTAAAGCTTGTTTAGCTTGAAAGAGGTGGATATTTTGTGTTCAGTGACTAAACTGCTTAAGAGGGGGATTAAGAGGTTAAGAAAGAGAAGAGTTTCTGAAAGACAAAGAAAATAGTAACCAAATCTGAAAGCAGCTGTCTGCAGAAAGAGACAATGGAATTGTAACTGGAATACACCCTCTATGACGCATTTATGATTACATAAACAGATAAGTCCACAGCAACATCACCTAACACACAGGCCATTTATGATTACTGTCATCCTAAGAACTGTACTGCATTGCTTAGTACACACCTGCAGTTCCTCACTGTGACAGACAGGTGGCAGGCTGCCATCAAAAGGTCAGATCCTGCTCTTGGTGAAAATGGCTCCACTCTGGAACATTTCCTAGAAATCATTCTAATAACACTGCCATTGTTGGCTCCATTGTTATTCCTTTCACTAGAAATATGTAGATGTTTTTCTATTATGTTGTTGGTGTTCTGTAGTTGATGTAATGTCTTATCATATCAATATTAAGCAAAGATAGAGAAATCCCTATACATAAGGATGAGAAGGGTTTTACTCCACATGAAACTCATTAGCTGACAGTACATTGTTTTTTTATAATTTTGCTACATAGCATTAGACATTTTTGATAAAGCAGGTTTATGTTTATTTCATTATCTGTGTTCTAGCAAACACAAGTAAATTCTATTGAAATTATCAAACTTTTAAAGGTTAAAATTACCCTGTTCAAAGTTTTATTTATAATGTAGTTACGAAGATGTATTTATGAATGTATTTGCATACATACGTTTTTTTTATTGTACTTTAGCAAGTGATTTCTGTGAGGTGGAAGACATACTGTAACTATGTCCTGTGCCAAGATTTCAAGAACTGAGTCCAATACAAAAGGAAATACAACCGCCCAGTTGTGTGGCAGGCATGCATTACCTATTAAGAGAAAAGTGCTTGGGTTTTTAATAAAAACAGCACAAACCAAAAAACAACACAATAAATAAGAAATAAAAACAACTCACAGTCGTGTGACCTAACTATTTCTCTAAACTAAATGAAGATTTTGTATAGCAGTATAAGCAAAGGCCTTTAATATTTCCTTCTGTAATAAACGCAGAATGTTTCAAGAATGGCTTATATGCAGTTGTCCTGTGCGCTCTCAGATATATAATTACCTACTTAAGTAAGTTGAAATTTGAGACACAGGATCCCTTTTTTCCAGATCTCAGAGTTAGTGTTAGAGGAGAGAGTAACACTTGACATGTTTGACAAATTACATTGGCTTACATAACCAAGTTCCTCTCTCACTTCAACCCCGAAAGAATGCTTAGATGTAATCCTCTTTTCACAGAAGTGGTTCTACAAATACCAGGCTAATCATTACTGCCCTCAATGAAGGTTCTTAAACCATCATTGACTTCCTATGCCAGAGTCAGAAAGGCACCTGTCAGTTTTCCTTCTTTATGTGTGAGATGGCAGGTTATGTCACTGCTACAGTTGGGCAACAATTACGTATGAAACATTTGTGCTGTGCCTATTGAGACAATGTGTTCTCAGAAACGGCTGGAAATAAGTACCCACAGTGGCAAATGGCCCAGATTCTGTTTAGTTTCTTAGTTCCTGTGTTAAACCTGATATAAGAAACATGTTCAAGGTACTTGAATTTGTGCTTTTGTAAGCATAATGTAAGGGTCTTGCTCAGTAAATTCCTGAAATAATAATATTATTATATTATGGCTGACTGGTACAGACAGTGCAGTGTGATAGTGTTTGATTTGCAGGAGTCAGCACTCCTGAGGTGACCACACACCTCTAAACCGTCTAGTCCAGGTTAGTTTCATGTGTATTAGCTCTGGACACAGCTGGAAAGCAGTGCTGCCCTGGGTTCAGTTCTTTGGGTGCTGTCTGTGTGGAGTTTGTATGTTTGTATGTTCGTGTGGGTTCCCTCTGGGCGCTGGATGCCTGTTGCTTGCTGATAAAAGCTCCCCTGTGACCTTGCAGTGGACAAAGCAGTTAGAAAATGGTTAGGTGGACCAAAAGACTTTTAACAACAGTTCATGGCCTCACACATTTTTCCAGACATCTTGATTTCATTTAGCCTTTTATATCGTTAGCTCCAACACATGTACAGTACGCTTCCTGAGGGAAATCTAGAAGACAACTCATCTGCTTATTCATCCGCACTGGATTGCTTGTAGTTAAGCATGCCAGCACTTCATGACAATAACTCTTAATGGAAAATGAGCAGTAAGAGGAGTTTAAAATACCAGAAAAGAAGAGATTCAAACACATTATCCATATGTCTGAATAGTGCAAAATTCTTGTTAATCATCTGTAATCTAGATCTCGATGTTGAACCTCTGTGAGCACAAAAGCAGCTTGAGCTTGAGCAATATGTGCTGGCCAGTCCCACCCTCTCTGCTGCCAGGATTGCCTACAGTGAGACAACAGTGTTTACACAGATTTTCCCCATTATTCAATAGGGGTGAAATCTGGATATTTCTGGCATTGTTCTGGTCAGGGAATCATGCCTCATGCTCCTAAAGTTATCCATGCAGTGCCTGACATTGGAACACTCTATGTAACTGAAAGTTACTAATATTTTGGACAGTGGGTGTATAGACATATATGCCTTGCCTATGGGCTGTGAATTCAAGTCACCACTGTAGGCCTGTTGTACCTGGAGCTACTTGAAACACAGGGAGGCTTGGCAGGCTTTGTCCCGCAGGTTTGCTGCAGGTGTTCAGTGCAAATAGCACCTTGGATATAGGAAGCAGGTAATGGGACAAAGGCAAGATGTTTAAAAACATCAAAGAAATGTGATTGCCTATGATTGGAGCAAAGGGAGGAAACATCAATACCATGACTGATTATTGGAATCATGCTTGTTGCTCTCTGCTTTAGATGAGATTGTCTTTACTTAAGGAACTAGTGTAAATTTAGCACAGGTGAAAACACTCTATCCCTGATTCTTTGCTCTAATGTCATTAAAACAGACCGAGACATTACGATCCAGAGGTTGTGGGGCAGGGCTTGTCTCGGAGCCAGTTCCCAAAATAAAAGCAATAATCTTCTACAAAATGATTTGTATCTATTTGAGTTCTTGAAATAGAAAAGATAACAATACCTCAGTTTCCTAAATATGAATTCGTTCAACATACAACGAACTTTACATGTTTGTGCTGTAGGCAGGCTGTCACTATGAAAGTATGCCTGTGAGGATTTTATTTTTGCAAAAGCTGTTTCACACTAATTCCAAATACAGTGATCAGTGTGTTCTGTATTTGTTACTTTTAAGGAAAATGAATTTCTAAGGAATTATCGATTAAATATTCATTGCTAGGCTTTTTTGTTCAAGTATACTGTATATATAAATCTCTTTCGCCTTTTTTCATCCTGAGCGAGAGAGGGTGTGTATCCTGTAGAAAGCACAACATGGTCGAGATTTCTAGGGCAACTTGACTTTTCTAGATTCTCTAATAAAACAATATGCACATTTAGTTTTAAGAAAATATTAAAATATAATTTCATTATTTAGTGCAGAGGATACGTGAATCAAACCCAAATCTGAAGTAGGATAATTTACTAATATATTGTAGATATTGTTTGCTAAAGAAACAAAGAAAGGTTACAAGCTATAGGAGTCATTTAGCCCACTCAGCCTGTGTATCATTTACCATGATTTATGTCAGTTCAATTTGAATTTGTTCTTTCCATTTAACATTGAAGAAAGGGAAATGGGAAATGAAATGGACAAATATTCTGAATATATCTTACTTTAAGAAACAGAAGGTTCTTTAGATAATATAGCAGAAAAGGTTTTTTTCTGGTTCTAAACAGAAAATAGCCACTCCTTTACCAGATCAGTGCAATGAGCTCCAAGTCATGTTTTGCCAGAACACAGAACACTTTTTGTGTGAAGTGATGCAACTGCCCTCAGAATATATGACATTCAAAAATATTTTTTTAACAAACCAATTACATAGTGGTTGTACATGATTTACATTGATTACTCGCAAACAACTGCATAATAAATGCTGAATATGTGGTGTTTTTAATTAAGTCTTAATAAAAATGGCATAAACACTATTTATCTCCATCAGGCATTGGTTTGGAGTTGCCTGAAGGTTAGGTAGCTGATACACATCTTCTAAAACTCTTACAATACCCTCCTGATTTATTTTCATTCAATTAAGAACCAACATTTTAAAACAACGCCTCGCACGCCACAACAAAGAAGTGTTAAATTTCATTATGCTGTCCTAAGCTCCTTAGGGGCCTTAGCATTTCATAGTCTCCCGGGGACTTTAGCATCAATTAATCCCTGATTGCTTGATCCTAAGTTAGAAAGGTTTACACAAATTGGCCTGCGTCGCACTTCCTGCGAGTGGGGATTTTAGTATGGACCAGTTACTTCTGCCGACACAGGCCAGCAATACGAGCCCTCTGAGCTGTCTCTCTGCCATCTGGAAAGCCATGCTGGAATGTATGAAAAACTCCCTGCAGAGCCTGTTAGCCCTCAACTGGGATCGCCTGAAAGCCTGGGGCAGGGATTTCTGCAAGCGCAATGGCCTGTTGTCGCTGTCTGTGATGTCGGTGGTGGGCGGCTGCCTGCTGGGTTTCTTGCTCAGGGACTTGGAGCTCTCCGAACAGGTAAGCGCAGGGCAAAACGGGCTTTCTTGAGTTCTGGTTCATAGCAGGAGGCTGGAAGCCCCATTTTACTAACATACAGAACGGCAAACAAATATGAGATCATTTGTTGTGAGCTCAAGGGTTTGGTATCAGATCCAATAATGCAAGTTAGTAAGTTGTTTCCTTTCATTGCTCACTGCAGACCAGTCTTTTCAAGATGTTTTTGTCTGGAATTAACACTCTGAATGTGTGAGAGGGGCTATGCACAGCTCTGGTGAACATTAGTTCTTGCTTTATATTTAGTGCATTTCAGTCATTAAACTTTATTACAAATGTCCACTTAACTCTAGAAAGACAACAGTAGAACAGTTTCCTAACCCTGGTGTGCCTGAGGTGGCATTCAGCCTGCTGAGCTCTCTTTCTTAGCGGAACTGTGCCAGACTGGTCCATGAAGTTAAATAACATAAAGGAGATGTATTCTTCTAGAAAACATCTACAATGTTTCACTAAAAAATTCAAGCAGGCTTACATAGCCCATTAACCTCCTTTGGCAGCATTCCTCATATGGAACATTCCTGATTTGCCAAACCTGTAAATTTAGTCCTCTTTTACGGTGTTATACCACAGCAGCACATTACATTGCATAGTGGGGGAAGAAATCCCATTGATAAAAAAGTAACAGCTTAACACACCAGCAGCTTTAAGCCAGATAAGACATGTCTTAAAAACTCTCTCACTATTCGCACACAAATCCCAGTGCCACTAAGTGAGCTTATCTGAGTGCTGAAGCCTTGGAACGCAATGAAATACGAGCTTCTAGTTTGTAGATTTTAAAACAGAGCTATAAAATATCAGTACTCATGTTTATAATGAAATACTTAAATCATATATGAAATACCTAATCTGTATAAACTCATAAGATTTCCAGACAAATTTAAATTAAAGTTATGGTTATGTCATCTGTACATTATGTGAATTAGTACTGTTAGTACTAGTGAAGTTTTGATCAATCCTTCATTAGTGTGTTTCTAACTGTTAAAGGTCAAATTCACCCCTTTTCCAATTTCTAAAATAACTGCTTTAATGGATGGTGTGAGCATCTTTATGCTAACAGCTAACATGTGAGAGGCCATGATGTAATGCCTGCTGCTCTTGTAACAACAGATAATTCAATTGTGACCTAAAGGCGGAAGAGACTTAGGAGGAACTAAGCCCTTGCCAGCAGCCCCAGCTTAGTCACACGCTGACAGTCTGAAACAGACCTGGGCCATATGACTTGGTCCAGGTGTAAATGTGAGATATTGCTTCACCAGCTGAATTACAGGAGAACTGTGGTGAGGAACTGGTATCCCTTATAGCCATCCAGCGTCAGTAACCACTTTATCTTTGAGGTGTCTTAGCAAGCTGGGCCCATGCTAACTCACCCAGGGTGTGAATACGCCCTGGACAGGAAGCCAGTCCATGGCAGGGTTACATGTCTTCATCCTGGTTAGCATGTATTTGGAAGGTGGGAGGGCATGGTGGCATTTTGGAAAAAAAGCCATGTGAACTAGATGAGACCATGCAGACTCCACCTAGAAGACATCTCAGGCTTCATTCAAACTCAGGATCAGACAGCTGTGAGGCAGAAGTGTTACCCACCTCCCATTAGTCTAACACAGTCAAGAATAAAGGGTAATGAAACAGAGGTAACAGGTTAAATTCCAGTCACCTTGAAATATCAGTTCCAAGCTACCTTGATTATTACATCAGTGCCGAGAGATCAAGCAGTAAGCCTTCATGCTTTGAAAGCTGGCAGTGTTTCCCAATACTAGATCCATTTCACCATAAGACACCCACTGCCTTTCTCTGCCATGGTCTGTCCACGTACTGGAACGGCTGTTGGTAATAAACAATGTCTCTACATGCCTTCTGTTCCCTGTCTAGGCAAAAATCTACTTCTCCTTCCCCGGAGAGCTCCTCATGAGGATGCTGAAGATGCTGATTCTTCCTCTCATCACTTCCAGGTAAGATGTGCTGGTTTTCCTTAGGTTCTATACTTCTTTTAAAATAAATAAATGATGTAAGAAAGGGTTATACTAATGTACTTATACTGTGATTTTTTAATTTAATAATAAGAACAAGATAACTGCACAGGTTGGGCTGTCACTATGTCAGTCTTAATTCTTTTCATTGTATTGTGTTCTTCGGCATGAGAACCACTTTATAAGCGGCAGGGTTTTGTGTGGGTGCAGGAAGCCCCTATATCGCAGGGGGGGTTAGTTCTATGTTTCTCCAGGGGAGGGCACAGGGGTGGGACAGGAGAGTAGGGTCCCTGGAGGAAGTTTTCTCCTATTGCACAGAATAACCATGAGTGTTTGGTGAGCCCTGATGCATCCCGGGAGGTGTGTGTATGTATGTGTGTGGGTTGAGGTGGTGTGGTGACAGCTCCAGTACCAACCACCCCAGCCAGACCTGAGAAGGTATCTCCATGAATGAACTACAGCCGTGACTGGATGTAGCAAGAGGCTTCTAATTTGCACCAGCAACTCTTATACACCGTGGATAGTGTGGAACTGTAGATTGTGTTGCAGATTTAAAAAAAGAGGGGGGAATTTAAGAGGCAGAAAGAGTGGTAGAGCAAGAACATGGACCTTCACCAAGGTAGACCCCTGCTCTTCTGCACAGTTCCAAAGCATTTGTAATGATCAGAAATTATCAGAATCGCTGGTTGCAGTCTCACACCTACAGCACAGAGTTACAATACTGGGGCTTTGGTTTGGAATTTCTGGACCAAAGGGAAGAGCATCAGAACATCTTTAGAGTTTACCAGCCTAGTGCTGCTCATCTGGCCAAGGCTGGGTTTGTTCCTGACAGGTTTCAAGGTGGTATAGACTTTGTATGCACAGCTTGATAGTCACATTTCAGTTTCAAGTTACTTCCTAACAATGAATAAGTTGACAGTTGAGTAAAGGAAAACAATTAACACCCTGCAGCACACAAAGAACACAGGTCTGTCTCCTTCAGACAGTGTAGGAGTCCTCCATGCTTTCTCAGGGACAAGAAGAAGAGACTATTGTCCACTGGAGCTCCACAGAAGATCTCAGCTGCCTTCTGCTGCCCGTAACCATGAGCTGCTTTGACTGTTTCCTCTCCAGCTTAATGTCAGGCCTGTCTGCTATGGACACCAAGGCGTGTGGCCGCATGGGCCTGATCACCATCACGTACTACCTGTGGACCACCTTCATGGCCGTGATCGTGGGCATTGTCCTGGTGCTCATCATCCACCCTGGCAACGCCTCCGAGAAGGAAGGCAGCCGAGTGGGGGGCGGGCCGGTCATGACCTCCGCAGACGCCCTGCTAGATCTCATCAGGTAAACCCTGTGTGTGCGGTGTGCGGTGTGCGGTGTGCGGTGTGCGGTGTGCGGTGTGCGTTTACGGACCGCTCTCTGGCGTGTGTGTGCTGACTGGACAGACAGACAAGTGGAGACAATGTGACCCAGAACAAGAAGGGTCTTTCCAAAGATGATACAAAGTTTGGCTCTTTTGCCACAGTACTAAAAGGAATTAACAGGAAGGACCAACTGTTCCTATCTCTTATAAACACGCTGTTTCTGACTTTGCAGCTTTTTGTTCTTAATTGAATGATTCTGCAAATCATTTTCAGATTCTGCACTGTCATGTAATATAGTGTATTTTCTTATTACTAATGTATGAGAATGATTTATATTCCGTATTATGGATATGAGAAAGGTTTGTTTCATAGGCATTCACACAGGAGATTCTGATTAATTTTCGGGCTGTGAACATATGAAAGATCATGAGAAACATCGAAGCAGCTTATAAATGTTGCTTCCTCTAGTGGGATAGGGCACTTGTATAGATTTGGTCATTGTACAAACCTATAACATACCCTACTGAAGTAGTTTCGCTCAAATTAGAAAATCTGCTTCCTTAACAGGTTTTGTACCAATTTCCAGTATCCCTTACAGCTTTGTACAGAACATGATATTCTGCCAATGTTAATTGCTAATAAGAGCATCAAGCTCTTAATTCTGAAACACTGCTTTATTAAGATGCTGAATCCCTGGTCTGATGTTTTTGTCTCGGCTTCATAACAATCCCATTAAGGCACAGTGGTATTACAGTATTTTTAGTAATCCGTGCCGCAAGAACGTCTTATCTACCGCAACGCTAGTGACTTCCAGAGTCTTATCCGATCACTACACCAAATGTATTTGACTCTCCAGGAAGCTGCCCTCTGTACTGTGCTGAGATCCAGCACCAGACAGCAGGCTGAACAGTATCCATAGCGTCCCTCTGTCGCTCGCCACTTCATTTTCAAAGTGAAAAAAGGAGTTAATTCTTACCTCAGTGAGGGTGAAATAGTCAACAGTGCCTCAACAGCAAGAAGAACACAATGATGGATTGATGCAGACAGAAAAGAGCAAATAGCAACTTTTCAAGCACAAAGCTCTTCCTAGGGCGGAAGCAGGGTAGCCTTTGTATCCGACAAATCCTACATAATCACGCTAGCTGTTATGGTCAAATAACGTCTTGCTCAGGATTCTACTGTTTAGTTACAACAACAAGATGGCAGGTTAGTTCTGAAGCTGGTCCAGAAATCCAGCTGTTAGACAGCTGGGAGTAGGGGGGGAGCTCACAGCCTGGCCAAGCTTCTTGCTGCGGGAAACCCTGAACCGCCATCCACACAGCCCTGTGTCTTTTCTGTCATTCTTGTGTTCAAGCTTAAATACAGCCACTACCAAGTCATGGATAACTAAACCTAATGGAAGATTCCGACCTTCATTTCATAAAAAAAAACAATGCTCTTTTCCTTGTTTCTTCACAGGAATATGTTTCCTGCCAATCTGATCGAAGCAACATTCCAACAGGTAAGAATTATTTAACAAAAAACAGTGTCCTTAAAAAAGACTAAATATACATTAAAAAGGCTGAATATTTTGTCAAGGCATTTGGTCCTGACAGAACCCTGTGAAATGTGGCGTATTCTCTCTGGACTGAAGCCCTTTGTTTCATTGTGTCTGTTCTAGTATCGCACGCAGCTGGTTCCAGTCCTCAGACCGGCTTCGAGTGGCCGAATCACTGGCGTTTCACCCAACTATGTCTATTTCGTCCCCGACGAGACCAATCCCAACATGGGCCGGCCTGTGTTTCTGGAGCTCACCCCCTCACCACAGGTTGACTACAAGTCCATCCCGGGAAGCAGCAAGGGGATGAACGTGCTGGGCGTGGTCATCTTCTCGGCCACCATAGGTACCAGGGGACTCCATGATGAGGGGTCGGGGTGACGCCAGAGACATTTTAGAAAGAAAATACTTTCAGGGTCAGGAGCAATGGTTAGCATGGCTGCCATGCACCACTGGGGCCCTGGGTTCAATTCCTGGGGTGCTGTCTGTGAGGGGTTTGTAGGCTCTCTTTGTGTTCATGTGGGTTTCCTCCTGCAGTCCAGTTGGTACCTGGGAAAATTGGTCCTGGTGTGAGTGTGTGCATTTGTGTCTGTCTCCCTGCGATGGACTGGTGTTCTATCCTGTGTGTATCCCATCCTGTATCTGTTGCTTGCCGGGACAGGCTCTGGCTTCTCCATAACCCAGAAAATTATGTTAGAAAAACAGTTAGAAAATGGATGGAAGGACTTTTTAAAGGCCCAAAACCAAATTTCCTCCAGTTTTTCTTAAAGTAGCATTAAGAGCTCAAAGGCTCTAAAATGGGAATGATAGATTATTAGTTTCCTTTTTATTGCACGCTTGCCTCCATCTCACAGAGCTCTTCTTGCCCTTTCTTTGAAGGCCTGTTGCTGGGGAAGATGGGGGAAAGAGGGACACCAATGGTCAACGTCTGTCAGTGCATTAACGAGTGTGTCATGAAGATCATTAATGCAGCTGTTTGGTGAGTTGATACATGAGCCTTATACCTCCCAGAAAATACAATAATATCAGAATGTAAAGGAGCCATGGGCAGCGTTTAAGAGCACAAGGATAAACCAATCAATATGGGGATTGTTTTGGCCAAGGAAGGTGATGGAAGTCAGCATAGTTTCTTTATTTGACTGGATATTAATTTAAAATATTGTATCGACCCTGCAGCAGTCACTGTTGTTTGCTACATTCAGTGTGTGCGCATGTGGTGTATCTGGTTGAAAGGTCTAGAGTTGCTGGCTGTAGTTCATTACGAGCAAAGAGAGAAACATCCTAATCTCTACCTCTGTCCTGGGCCTCCTTGTTAATGCTACAAAGAAATGGCTCAGTGATACAACGCTTTGGCCAGTGAATATAGAGGTGTGGTATTTGTGGGTCACTGCTAAGCAATACTTTTCCTGCTTTTGCTGTTAAAATGATTAAAGATGCAAAATGCCAGATGGCTGATCAATAAACTGCTTATAATTTAAATTAATTCACAAAGTTTGTTTCCTCCGCATTTATTTTGTAAACCAAAATAATCAAAACAAAAACCTGAATCCTACCAAAGTTCTAGCTCTACTTGTCAGAACCCTTTCCCCAACCATACAAGGGGTTGAATTAATTCAAGCGCTCTAAAGAATAAAAATGGTTTAACAATAATCACGTTACTCACGTCACCAGTCTTCTCTTCTCCTCTGTCCCTCCTGGTTTATCACAGCTGCAACTCTCAATCTCATTCAGCTCTTTTCAAGCACTGGACTGGCTTCTCCCTACAGAAGCCTCCCATTGACACCTCAACCCTCCAGGCAGGAAAGTAGCTTCTCTCAAGCTGCACGTATCAAAGACAGCAGAATTCAGCTTGAAGCAGCAAAGTAACATTGCTTCCCAATAAACACCCACCTCCACGAAAACTTTTCGGTATTTCATGTGAACTTACTTCCTGTTTTCTGTTCCATCTTACAAGTCAAGCATCTTTTCTTAATTCACAGGTATTTTCCCTTTGGAATTGTGTTCCTAGTGGCCGGAAAAATCCTGGAGATGGAAGATCCGTCTGAGGTGGGACAGAAGCTGGGGATGTACGCAATCACGGTCCTGTCAGGCCTCCTCATTCACGGGCTCATTCTCCTCCCCCTGTTCTACCTCATCCTGACCCGGAAGAACCCCTTCAAGTTCATTCGCGGGCTTCTGCAGGCCCTGGTCATCGCCCTGGCAACCTCTTCAAGGTACCACTTCCCAGCTTCAGCTAGAACTGGGTTTCCTCGATGTCCCATATCTCCCACAGGCAAATGCAAAGTTATGAGAAACCAGTTGAAAGCTCTTTACATATACATTACCAGTTTCCATTGTGTTCTTGTGTCACTGTCTTCTTAGTAGCAGTTTTAGTGTCTATCAATGTCTGAAGAACTTGCTGCTTAAACTCCTGAGCAGAGCCCTGTTGCTCCCGGTCCAGCCTGCATGGTTAGGGAGTAGGTGGCTCTTCTGACTGCACTTCCTCATTCTCAGCTGCACGTGGTGGCAGGGTTCATAGCCGCAAGCTGAGCCACGAAAAACATGATTTGAAATTGGTGGGTTCCAGCTAGGGTGGGTGTAACTGAAGAAATGACTGGGCAGTTTTGTGTTTTTAAAAGACCGCAGCCTGGGCAGCTGACCTTGGGGAATGACTGGGAGACAGGGCTCTTGAATTGTGCTGTCCTGCTGTCCTCTAGTTCCGCCACTCTGCCCATCACCATGAAGTGCTTGCTGGAGAACAATGGCATCGACCGGAGGATAGCCAGGTTCGTCCTGCCCGTGGGCGCCACCATCAACATGGACGGCACAGCCCTGTATGAAGCAGTGGCTGCCATCTTCATTGCGCAGGTCAATGACTACGAGCTGGACTTCGGGCAGCTGGTCACAATCAGGTAACTTCTGCCGGGTAAATTCTGAAGATTTTAAGGCAATTATTCTTTACTCTTGAAGGTGTGCAGAAATCAAAGCTCCGGAAAGACCCAGCCCTCACACAGCACTGTGTACGACTCCCCTGCACTGATGAGACTGACTTACTCCTCCTGTTCCCCTGCAGTATAACAGCAACAGCAGCAAGTATAGGAGCAGCTGGGATCCCGCAGGCAGGCCTCGTTACCATGGTGATAGTGTTGACCTCCGTAGGCCTGCCACCGGATGACATCTCCCTGATCGTGGCAGTTGACTGGGCCCTGTAAGTAAAACATCCCAGCCAAGGTTTGCAACCCTCTTCAGTGCAAATGCATGGATTTCTAAGCTTTTAAAAACCTTTTCGTTTTCAATTTAAGGACAGACCTCTCTTCATTCTTCGTGTAATGAAGTCCAGTTATCCACTGAGAGCAAATTACCTCTTCAATTCCCACAGTCTTTTGCTCACATGGGGAAAAAATGGACTGATTTTTTTATAAATGAGTTGTGAAGAGGGTATCACAGTGGCACAGCTGTTAGCATTGCTGCCGCACAGCACTGAGGTCCAGGGTTCAATTCCTGTGTGCTATCTGCATGGAGTTTGTATGTTCTGCCCGTGTGGGTCTCCTCCCACAATCCAAAGGCAGCATTTTCTGGGTTAAATTTCTTCTGGAAGAATTAGCCCTGGTGTGTGTGTGTGTGCCCTGCGATGGACTGGCATCCCATCCAGGGTGTGTCCCACCTTGTGCAGTTTCTTTGCCAGGATAGGCTCCAGTGAGTCTGGAGAGGATGAAGCTGTCAGAAACTGGATGGACAGACTGATGAGTGGTTCTGAAGGTCAAGGGACCTGAGTGTGGTAACTCCCTTCCTGTGTCCTTTCAGGGATCGGTTCAGGACAATGATCAATGTGCTAGGAGACGCACTTGCTGCAGGAATAATCGCTCATATTTGTCGGAAAGACTTTCAGACAGACCCAAACAAGGTTTGGCATTATTTGTACTCCAAATATCTATATTTTTTGCACTTATATCTTTTTGGGCACATTTGAGTTTATAATTATGTTGTTTGTACTAAAATATAGCCTGTGAAATAAATTTGTACTTACAACGTTTAGAACATAGCAAGCCTAATACATTGAGCTTTTAATTAAAATTTTATTTGTGTAGCATATACTATGCAACATGTTCTTAGTTTGACCGTGATTCAGTGACGGTGGATCGACAGCGAATTTGGAGGGTAGCATTTTTTTTAAATGCTGTTTGCTTGAAATATGATAATACTTTATTATCAGATTTCCAAGAAGTGTGTCTTGCATCAACATGGCTGTTTTACACACATAGAAACATACAAAATCTACATTAAATAACAGACATTCACTTCACACCACTCCTGCAGGAATCCCCTAATTACAGCAGAACCCTTTAAATTTACTCCCCACAACTACACCAGACCCATTTAAATACACGTCACCCCTTCCCTTTTCTACCGAATCCACTGATATTAATTACCCATAAACCATTACTGGTTTAAAGACAAAGACAAAGACAAAGAACTGTGGCAAAAATTAGGCAGTTTTTTACTGTCTGTGTTCCAGGAGAACCCCTCTAGCGGCATCCAGGACCTGCCCATGACAGAGATCCCGCTGCTGGCGAACAAAGACTGTGTGTTTGAAGTGATTGGGGACACCGTAACTGAGCGGCCTACAGTGTATTACAACATCTGCCAAGTGTGATGCCAACAGAACATCCAGGGAACAAATAGCAGCTGGACTGTTTGTAGAATTCCCTGGGCTGCAGGGTCTTCTGGTCCTCATTGCTCAAGCCCTGAAGGAACCGCTCTTCTTTCGTTTTTCATTTCAGATTTATTTTCACTATTCGGTATTTGAGCCGAGTCACTGAAGATTCAAGGGATTACCATTTTCACAATTGTGCCATTGTACAGTATGTAAACTATGACAAACAATGAACATTCCCCACCCCCCCATCTACTGTTTCTGTATCCAGCTTGTCTTTTGGGTTGGACTACCAGCTGCTCAAGAACAAGACCCAAGACCAGCGCCCACCAGCGTAAAAGATAACTGAAATTGATTTAGTCCATGTTTCACTTTCTGCGATATTGTTGCTTTGGAAGTGTGACATATTTCTTGTATGACCATGAAAGGCTGTTCTCTCTCTGTGTATATGCACAGGGGGGAGTAAGAACCAAAAAATGATAAGGACTGCAAAGAAAAAATATATATATTCTCCTGCTCTGCCTGGAATATCATACCCGCACAAACTACAGGAAATGAATCTTTGTGTCTTGGAACGGAGGAGATTACGGGGGTCTTGATTCACGTCGTTAAAGTCCCAGAGAATCTCTCTTACTTCCAATCACCTGACGCAGAAACAGCCACACGTTGAAATGGAGTCTGCTTCCTTTCCACAGTGTTCAGATTAGAATCTCCAAAACGGCGTCTGTTCACAGTAGATAAGGTGGCGCCGAATGAATTCGCTCCCATGTGCCTTCTGTTGATTTCTCTCTGAGGTTTCATGTAGATATGCCTTAAGAACCACCATCTTAAACTAAAAGGTGCAGAACCCTTGGTTTGGCTCTAAATTATGCTTAAGACTGGAAGCGCATTTGTGCTTTCCTTCCTTGGGGTTGAGGAATCTAATCCTGGTCCTGGGGAGCTGCATAGGGTCAAAATCTTTGGAAAGTAGCGGAAGAACGCTTAAAGATGTAGAAAATCTGAGAAAACTGCAGTGAGGGCCGTACCAAACGAGGTTAGCTCATTAAGAGATGAATTAGAATAAAAAGCTTCAGACTCTCTGACCCTGCTGGACCAGGACCAGGATATCCCTGGTGTAAACCATTGAGGTTATATTTTTTTAAGCCTTTTCAGCCAGTGAGAAAGTGTAGCGGAAATCAAGCAGTTATTTTTCAGAAGCGTTTCCAACCCTTGTCCAGGAGCAACACTGTGCCTAAAGTGTTCAGTCCAGCTGAGTTTTCTAACTCTCCAGTGCTTACTGAGGACTTAATTCATCTGCTTGATCATTTAGACCTTGTTTTGTTTCTAAACTTGTTTCTTCAATCGGTCCCGAGTGACAAAAACACCTAACGACAAGGAGACTTTACATTGTCTCTCCTTAACTTGCTTAGTGTTATTTCTCCCTAAATTGCTCTTAGTACTTGATCAATTGATGATAGATGAGGTGTGAATGATACCCTGACACACCGATCCATCCACAGTGGGAATAACCCTGCACACTATATTGAACAGATTTCTCCCAGCTGAGGTCCACCTGGTCACAATTCAGGCAGTACATGTGAATGAGGGAAGTTAAGATGCCTAGAAATTAATTCAGGGTTGATAGAGCATACTAATCCCATCTGACCTTTTCAGAGCTGAAAACAAAACGTACAAATATGTCCAAAATAAAAAAAACTGAAATCAATTAGTCTGTGATGGAGAACTCATCTGGTTAAAAAAAAGACAGTGTTGTGCCAGGACCAGCCTAGGAACTGGGAAACATCTGCTATAGATTACTTCAGAGGGGAAAATAATTGAAAAATCTAACCTCTTTCTCTAATAGAAACATAAACAGGAATGACATGCTGGTAAATAAAGATCCAGTAATAGTAATCTTTAGAGCTCATACAGGGTCAGTATAATGTTCAGTAGTCATTCCTGCTTAAGGAGTTGTGCTTTGTAATAGGGAGTCAATGTAAAATCAAAGTGTGTTATAGCTTTTCTTTTCCCAGATTTTTAAAGGGGCATCACATTTCATCTTTGGAATGCTCTGGAAAATGGGACAATGATTATAGCAGGGGCTGTTTTTCAAAAGCTCAGGCTCCTACATGTTCTCAGTGAGATTTAGTGTTGCCTTAAATGTGATCTTTAGACATCAGCCAAGAATTGTAGACAGCCCGACAACATAGTCAAAGCAGTTTTTCCTCTATTACAATGTTTCCCAGGAATTATGTCATTCTGCCAATTTCTTTCCCTAACTGTTCCCATTATGTTGGCATACTCAAAATGGCAAATTACAGATTTTAATTCATAGGGCTGATGTGTTTTTTAATTAATGATTCTTTTTGTTGTGGTTTGGTTATGATATTTTGTAATAAAACTTTGCTTCTGAGCTGAAGACTTATTTTTCATTTACATTTTAATTTCAAACCACCAAAAACACGGCACAAGCAACCCCTTTTGAGACTAGGAACACCGCGCCAGGGAAGGCATCAGCTCAGACTGTTATTGTATCAGCTACCATAACAATAAAAGCAGGACAGATGCTTAGTCCACTGGTGTGCAATCAACCATCACTTACCTTGTTCACCAGCATATATTTAATCTCCAGTGATGACTGGATTCCCCGCTCAGTTGTGACTCTTGCTCATGGCTCACGTTTCCCCTGGTCTAGTCTCTTGCTCGTTTGTGACCACGTCTCTGGCTTTTCCATTGCGCTGTCAACCGTGTTCACCTGTGCATCGACCCAGCCTGCCTGACTGCTCCCTGGACTGCTTGCTTGTGTTCGTGACGGAAGCAGATCGCGTTTAGTTTCACTCTTCCCTCTTTGCTCAGCTTCTGCATGTCATCAGACAAGTGGAGTAGTCTCACAGGATCTGTCCAGATCTCTTTTTGGACCAAAATGGACCAAAGAGCTTAACAAAAGGACTTCAAAACACACCCCAATTACACTGCAGAGGAATCACAAAAATGCTCTCAATAATTAGTATTTTTATTTTGGTTGGGAAGAGAGGAAAGGTGTTACTTTGGAGAATATTTGAATGAGAACCTTGCATCTGCAACCGATAATCCTCAGGTGGTACACAACATTTTGGCACTATGCCTTAACAGACCAATTAGTTTGTATTTCTTTAATAACATATTGTATAAACATCTAGTTTTTCAGTGGTTTCCATAGTGTAAAAAGGTATTTTTTTAAATTTGGTTAAAGACAATTGCCTTTAGAGTCTAGGCTTACTTAAGTGTTCAAAAAGCCCTAAACTGAAATGCCATTTGTAATGGCAGTAAACATAGAAAACACTGAACCAATACTCATTTTTTTTAACTCTTTTTCTTGGCTGTCACCTTTACACAAAGCAACTTGCATTTGGCCAATTCACTCAGTTTTTTACACAACTCAGGTGAAACACAACAGCTTTCTCTCACCTGAGATACAACCTTCCATTTACAAGTCTGGAACTCAGACTGCTGCCCCTTCTTAGACTGGCTCAAGCCTTCCTCCATCCTGTTCTACACCAGCTTGACTTTGCTATAACCCACCTCGTTTCTTACCAATGCGAGCTTAAGGTGGAGAAGATCATCTGTTCAAAGTTAAGCTCCTTATTCAGAGAAAGAGAACATTCTGCCTGACAACCTTGCCCAAAATAACTGTCTCTAACGCACAAGTGCATAATCAGCAAATGCACTTTTGCTTTGGATTAAAACCTACTTTATCTGCGCACAAAACATGTGCAGCACAGCAATGCACGCAAGCTATGCAGATCAGTTACTGCCATTGAACCGCTCCAACAGGAAAGATTACATTTGCAATTTGACATTTTTAGGATAATTTATATTGCAATAATTCACTTGAATAAAATAAAATAAAACTTTTGTTCTGTGATCCCCCTCATCTTCAGATTCAGGTAACAAGGTTGTCAAGACCAGAAAAAAACAGTCCAAGGCTGTTGAAACAAAAGGACTCCGTTTGACATCCACTAATTTCCTGTCCACCCCCTGGTTTTCAACCTATTCAGATTCAATCCTGTATCATGCATTAGAAATGTATAATTTAAAATCTCTCTGCTTGATGATTGCACTTTCCAACATGTAGCCATCAAGCATGGTTTTAATTTGCCAAAGGCACAAATATTGCAGTTTTGATTTAATCCGGGAGCTAATCAAAACAGTAATCTCCACTAGAACGTCAACAGATTAAGCCTCCTTGGTTCTACTCAGCACTTCCCTAAGCACGGCTCCTTGCAATTTTCCAAGAAAGTTGCTTTATACCAGGTGTTCCAAACTCTGCTCCTGGGAACCAAAACACCAGCTAGCTTCTGATCCACCTGCACCTTCATTTCAATAGCTGGACCCTGAACAAAAGTAATAGATTTAATTTGAAATCTGCTCTGTTCTGAAACCTGTTGGGAGCTGAATTTTATCTCAAGTAATTTGAAATACTAACCAGGGAGCAGAAAAAAACAAAAATAGCTGCACCCAAGTTAAAGTAACAGAAATGGGCAGGTGTGTGTGGGTCACAAGGACCAGAATTGGGAACCCCTGCTTTATACAATAGATTATTACTTTGTTTGAGGATACAACACACAATTTCCCACTTGTGCACCTCTTTGATTCCAGCTCATTTCTTCCAACAACATAGCCATCTACTAGCATTTCAACTTTTACCTCCCAAAACATTTGCAATGTGTGCTGCCAGTGACGAATGCTTCTCATTCATTTTCTATGAAGCTTGTCGCCACCTAGTGCAAGAAACGTGCAAAGCTCAGCCCCCACCCTAGCTGATGCTGCAAGGGTAGCTGGCGAGTCAGAGCAACTGCAGTGACTATATTTGCAACACATACCTGTTTGCCCCACCACCCCACCTTCAAAATCAGTATTGTAGTTGTAAAAGCAATAGGTAGATCTTATGGTCCATCGAAATGCTGTTGTATATGAAATATGGGTTAAAATCAACTCCATGAAGCTTCCTGAAAAAAAAAAACCTCTCCAACAAAACTGGAATTTTAATATGGAGTAACCACAAAAACCATTTCAGACAAGATGACATAAAGGCTTCCCCAGTCCCTGCTGATTATTCACAAATGCATTCCCCAACTTAGCATATTTTTCAGAACATAATTAACAGTTCAACCACCAGGAGAGCAGAAATAGCCGAGACGACCAGGTCACCCCGTCCATACTATCTGAACGTGCCCGAAAGTCTGAATAGGGCAGATGACTGGGGTGTGGCGCTGTTTGCACTGGGACAAACCACAGCTCCAGGTCATCTATTTTAGGGTCATGTGGTTTAGCTTATATTATATCAGATCACACAGGCTTCTGAAAAATTTACAGCAATTTGTTTCTCCCCAAGAAACAGAGTTAAACCCCCACTTTCCAACAAAAACTGATCAATAATACAATTACCAAGTCCGCTGTTTAAGTAGATATGAAAATTGAAAAAGCAGGGACATACATTAGCAGCAAGTTAAACTGAAATGCAAAAAAGGACTTATAGCTTTCAAGCATGCTCATCAATTATGGTAACCCATCCTCCCAACCCGATCAAGTTTTTCTCACAAACCCTGCAGACTTTTAAAAGTATCACAGAGAAGGAAGAAAACACAGGAACCCGAGCGTCACAATTACACAAGGAGAAAAGGCTCATTTTAATGTCACTGTGAATCCTGTAAATATGCAGGGTCACATAACTGAAGGAGCACATTTCTTGAGTTGAATTTTATATCATGGTTGAATACTGAATCTCCATTCACTTTAGGTTTCCACACATCCATCGGAAAATGACAGCACACAGCCTCGTTACACCAAGTGGCTCAGAACAAGAAACCATAAAACGATTTTCATCTTTATTTTCTTCAGCTTTGAAAAACAGTGTCTGACTTTTTATTTAAAATAATTCATGTTAGACAGTACAGTTTTGAACAGAAAGATACCTCAAAATAAATATTTATCCAAAAAAAACAAAACCAAAAAAAAGTCAAGAAACACTCTAAACTAAGATTACAAAAAATGTATTACCATATACAATATGGGTAAAATAAAGCCTTCTGGTCCTTACTCAGCATGCAGCACACGCACTGCCAAGTTCCTGGTCATTCTTATATAAATTAAGGCTACAAAAACATAAGGGTGGCGCACTATAGTTAATCCAGTTTCTTAAAAAAAATTAAAACGGCGCAGTATTAACAAATCAAAATTAAAATAAGCAATAAGACGGTCTTCAAAGGAAAGATGAAAGAAAATGAGCTTATGAAAAAGTAAACTATGCATTACAGAAGCTCACTTCCAAAGAGCTTCTATGAAACTAAAAATAATGCCCCTATTTTCATTTTAAAAATACGTGCAGGTAACTAGAGATTCTCTCCATCTACTGGTATGGTAAGCCCTACTAATACAGCTATAAAATCTCAAAGGGTTACAGCTCATTCCTGAACAGTGTGTGTATATTGAAAATTCAGTGTTGGGGTGAGTGGTGGCATCAATACTAGAAAACCAGTGGTTTTCACGGCAAAATTTCTTACATTTCTTCAAAACAAACTGACATATGTAGTCAACTACAAGACATGAAAACTACAAAACACCTTAAGACAAACAAAGCTCTAACCTAGGATCCAGATGATACTTGATTTGGCCTTTTAAAACTGGTAGAAATTGCCAAGAAATATCCAAAATAAATACAAGGCTGTATTTAAGGAACAGGTTAAAATAAGTGCAAAAACCCACTAGCCATCTCCAGGACACTCACACTGAATGCAAAGATTTTCAAAGTACAACTATGGCAAAAAGCAACTGAAGTGATCACACACTTTTTTTCAACTCGGCACTTCATCTGAACACATTCTCTCAGTATTTTGAACGCAAGTCCATTAAAAGCTGTTCTCTAAAAGTACAATAAAATCTTTAAAATCTTCAATCGCAACAAAAAGTGGGATTTTCCCCCTAAGAACGTGCTCTGAAATATAATAAAAATCAGATTCCTTAAGGCGAGCAATCTTAACTTCACTGCAGTATTGTAATTTTCAGGTATGGTCAAGCTTTCTTTATACAGAACAAAAAAAATGGTTTAAAGGAAAAATCGTAATTGCATACAAAAACACTTTTCAGTTTCGAATCTATATTGGCCAGCTTGGTGTCTTTCACAACTCTTGCACAGAAAGTAATTTGTGCAAGGTCAACCACTAATTTTTAACTCATTTAATAGCCAGGTTTACATTAAGTCTTTAACGCTGTCCAAAAGATACTTTGAACAAATAATGATTAATTCAGTCAAATGTTTTTACTTGCTTATGAACTGCTCCAACTTACATCTGGAAGATAAATCAGCTATTATACAAGTCACTTCAATCCTGAATAGCTTTTCTTCAACAAGGTGTAAAATAAACCAATATATCATCTTCACAAATTGTTTGAGCAAAGTTTAAAGATAACTACTAGGTGAGTGGGACCTGGAAAAACAAGTTACTACGGACTTTCCAAGAAGACAACTTAACTTGGTTCTGAAAATAAGATTACCCCCAAAGTCTCTGCTAATGCTTTTATTACTAAAATCAACAAGCACAGCAAAGCAGCAAAGGAAATAAAACTTCACCTGTGCACATCATTTGCCTCTTCAAAAATGTATGGCGCTTAAGATGGGGGAAATAAACCGTATCGCCAACAGCTGGGTTTAAAATACAAATTAGATTCATCCCTTGTTAAAATTCTTGCTACCCTTTTCAGCTCAGACTGAGGATGGTCAATGTCTTGTTTGCCTGGTGCTCCCAACACATATGAAATTAAAAAAATAAAAGCAAAGAAAACTGAAAATAACAAATGAAACAAAAAACTTCAGCAAAACAAAATCAAATTTAATGATCAGAATAAATGCAAAAGTAAAACAATCAAACAAAACAAAGGAAACACAAAAAAGCAAAAAAGAAAAATTAACAGAACCAAAAAGTCTCAAGGCAGTTTCCAAAATCTTGGGATTAGTTTTAAATCTATTTTAAACAAAGATTTTATATGTTACCAACTAAACTGCATGGAAAAAAGCTTAAGTACTTTTTCAGTTTTCTCAATAGAGAATGAATTAACATAAAGCCCCATTTAAAATAAAATAAAACAGAACCAGCTAGAAGGGATGCAAAGAAACTCCAATGCTCAAATGTTTGTATAGTAATTCAGTACCTGTTCAGCCCCTCTTGAATTTCAGAAATAATTCAGTGGGATTAAAATTCACTTCATCAGACCTGCATGTCAGGGTAACACTGGTTGACTTTTGAGGTTCATTCTTGACATTTTGCTGAATGGCCCAAACATCCCCCTTTCATTTGTAAACTTTCTTAATGTCTTGTATCTCTTTGGTCCTTCTTTAACAGCATCTGGATCTAACTAGGTCCCTTTCAAAACAACTTTAAAAATTCTTTTGCCAGCTCCAAAACACCTTTTCCTCAATGCCACGCCTCATTGGGATCTGCTCAATTGAACACCAGCATGCTGTGCCTTCACAGGAACTCTGATTCATGTATAAATGGGAAAACCTCTAATTTACCAAGTGCTTGGTAGTTCAGTTACTGATATTTACACAACCCTGAAAAAAAATAGGAAATCAAGTTAAGGAAGGTGATAAAGGGGGTTTAGGAATTTAAGGCATCTGTAACCAGTATTCTCAATTTTTTTCTAGTGTAAAAAGTAGATGGAACTAAAAAATGACAGTATAAAGAATCAGAGCCTTAAAGACATTGCATGCTGCGTTATTTTACCATGCATATGGCACAAAGTAACATCACCAAGTCTAGCATCACAGAAATTAATTTAAAAACTCAGAATTGGTCAATAGGTCATGGGATCTCTCAAAAACATTTGAACACGTTTGTTGCATCCCAGAGTATCAAAAAAAACCTACACTTTCCTATAAACTAGGACAAAGAAAACACATGTAAATTGGCGTAGAATGGTATTACACTAACAAAGAAAAATTTGCCTTTTCAACTGTTTTTTTGTAGAAAATCTGTGAGGACAAGTGATTTACTTGTGAGACTTGCTGGTTTTGAATGAGACCTGCAGGATTTTGTCCCCAAGGCGATAACCATTGAGGCTGGCGATGGCCATAGCAGCCTCTTCATAGTTTGTCATGGTCACGAAACCAAACCCTTTACATTTATTGGTGTTAAAATCACGGATCACTTTCACGTTAGTGACTGCTCCAAAGGGCCCAAACATCTGCCAGAGGATTCCTTCATCTGCATCCTGCCCAAGATTGTAGATGAAGATACACCAGCCAGACGTGGAGTTCCCAGGAACATTGACACCAGACAGACCACTCATGTGATCTACACTCATGGGGGAAAACCTACAGGAGAAAAAACAGAGTCAACCCACCATGCTGCCGGACAGTATTGAACATGATGGGGGGAGGGGAGGGGGGATGACCACTTTCCCAAGCAACTGTAAGGTGACAAGGGTCAATTTGGAACCTTGTTTCTTTATCTCCATATACAACAGAAGAGTTCAAACTAAATTCTGAAAATCTTCCGAATATAGCCTGTAATAGAACTAGGAAAACCTAGTTAAAACAGTATATACCTCCGACATAGGTTCAACACAAGTGAAAATAAAACTTGGAACACGACCAATGATTTAAATGATGGTATAATCAATTATTTGACACAGTAAAGCAATGAATGTCTATTAATTCTATGAAAGGATAAAGTTAAACTTCCCTTTTTCACAAATGGGGGAAAAAAACTCCAAAAACCAAGCTGCACAGTAAACGTCAATAAAGGAAGGGCTAGTTGGACACATGCTCAACTCCAAAATAGATCATAATATTAAGCTCAGGGGGTTATAAAAGCTTATTCTGAAGTAGAGAACACATGCATCCAGCTCATCTTATTTTGTTCGAATGGTCTGGACAGCTGTTAAGGGACAATGCAAATGAAGCCGTTAATGGTCCCGCCCGACCGTGCGGGCCCTCACCTGAACCTCTGTGCCTGGTGGTGGACCGGCCCGCCGAAGCGCCGTGACTGCGAGTGGTACAGCTGGGAGAGCAGAGCCGAGTTCTTGGCCTGATTGGGGTTCGCTGCGAATTTCACCGTGATGGGCTCCGTGGCGCCGGGGGGCTTCTGACCGTTCAGGTCTTTGATGGCGTCTTCCGCCTCGGCTCTTTTATCAAAGCGGATGAAGGCAACGCCGCGGGACAAACCTAGAACGCGTGGAGGGGAAAAAAAAATAAATCGGTTCGTTATCCCAGGCTGGCTCCACTTCACATCAGCCTGTGCGAAGGCTGCCAAGGGAGCAGTGGACAGCAGCGCCAGGCGTCAAGACGAACGTGTGCTTTACGCGGTTTCAAGCGTCGATGCCCACCTGAAGCCTGATCGACGAGGACACGCGAGTTAATGATGCGGCCGTATCGTGTGAACATGTCCTCCACATCTTTCTGTGTCATGGACTTGGGCAGACCACTTATGTACAGATTCGCATCCTTAATGGTGTCAGAACTTGGCCGGGCATAGGAAACCTAACAAAAGAAAAAGGAAACATTCTTTTAGTTAGAATACTAGCTTTTTAAATGGCATTGAAAAAATCCAAAATAATTTGCTGCAGTAGAAGCTCTATAAATGGGAAGTTTTTCTTTACGGACTAAGCAGTTTATCCACCTTTAAAGCAGCTCTCTACAATGCTGGAAAAATTAAACCTTGCTCACTGGCCTGTAAGACATAAACCTTGTGCTAACAAACTTTAAAAGGTAAAGGAAGATGAACTTCTACTGAATATTGTATTAACTGCATTACAGAATTAGTTCTGTATATTTTCACTTGTTTTTAAACACATCCTAATGAAAATGTTATTTCGAAACTGACGCGTTTCACTTTCAAATTTGTATATTTATCCAGGTGTCATTACCCTCCACTTGACAGTAGCCATTAAACAAATCCCTTAAGATTAAAAATCTTAAGACAAGTACTAGTGGATTTGTCTGAATAAACTTTCCAACAATCTTTTCACCATATAACAAACCTCAGACGACTCCACATCAGACCCCAACCCACCCACCTTAAAAAAGAAAAAAAACTGTAGACAGTAGGGCATGTGTGCTCTAAAGTACTGAATTCCTATTCCTAAATGAGGAGATATAAAAAGGTTTGCAACAGAATACACATCTTGCACAGACATTTATCATGCAGGACTTCTGGTTGATATGCCACCCCACCAGAGGGAATAAGGGTTTGCTCCAGATACAATATAGCTTAGGAAAGCAGTGAAGCTACTGAATGGAAGACAAAGTTAAGATCTGGTCAACAGGGCCAATACAAAGTATACAGAATATTCAAGTTTAGCTGCAATAGTTTTCCCTTCCCCAACACTCACTTGGATATAAAAGTCGTCAGAAAAGAAATCCTGCACGACAACTCTCTTGGCAAGAGCAAGCCAGTGGTCTGGGTTTTGTTTAAATCAGGTAAGATGCAATTGCACACTGGACAAAAAAAAAATCAATTTTAAACTAACCAGGCCTTTCAGAACTATGTCCCAGTGCTCACCTCCTCAATCTTCAACATAAAATGGATGCTTTGTATCACAGGGTTAGCCCTCTGCTGCCCAGGGACTATTTATACACAAGTCACATCTATGAGTTGACACATGTATACAAGAACACCTCTTTGCACGTTACCTTGATAGTTTTAGACTGTAGTCTCAGCCCATTGAGTGTATTGATTGCCCTTTCTGCATCACTAGGGTTAACATAGTTAACAAATCCGTACCCTAAACTGTGGCCTAGAGAAAAAAAAGGAAAACAATAAAATAAAATAAAAAACGTTTAATGGCTCCAAATTCTGTAGACTGGAAAAATTAATTCTTCAACAAAATAAATCTGTACAATGCATGCTAATCTATAAAGTTCAAACATGTACAAAAGAAAACTGCCTTCACACATTCACAAGTGCTTTGCTGGAGACAGAATATGGCCAAGACTATAATTCAAACCTTAGGATGTTTGTAAAATTGAGACTGGGAAGGATCTAATCTCTAATTACATGTTATATAAACATAACATTCTGAAAGGATGTGTATAAGCCTTGGTCTCTCAAAACCACCCTCCTAATAAATAAATCCATTTAGTGTCCTAAAAGTTGTAACCTAGAGGTCCAAACTGCCAATCATTTGACGTGCAGAGGACAAGATTTTGAGCCTTGCTGCAGAAATAAAAAAAACGCATTTTATAACATTTGGGTGCAAACAGGAAAAAAGAGTTGAGTCTTTAAGACGTACATCCAATAATCTGAGGGAACTTATACACTACCTCTATGAATGCACACACAAATGGAATGCAGCTCCATAACTAAGATTCTGAAGGTATCTTAGATTCTGAAGAAATCTGATATCTTCAGATTTGTATGGATAAGTATTTCCATACAAAACACACACTGAGTTGCATACGAAAAGCAATAAAATAAAAGCACCTTCTTTGTGCCCATAGTGACTCAATGAAAACTAGCGTTTGCAATTTTTTTACAACTTTGTTTTTCAAGTAGGACTTGAAAAAACAGAGCTAAAAAAAAAAGTAGGATTTTCACTTAACTCACATATGAGCCAAGTTAATGGCACACTCACTCACTCAAAGACCGCTTGACAAGGTGATCTTGAATGGCCATGGAAGGCCTCCCTATCATTATGGACTCGCTCGTGTCTCTAATGAGGATTACCTGCCACTTTGTCGCGGATGAGCTTGGCGGACTCGACCTCCCCGATGCTGCTGAAAAGGCTACGCAGCTCATCCTGGGTCATGTTCTGGGGAAGGTAATTGACGATCAAGTTTGTTTTGGCATCCTTTGATTCATCTGCCATGTGGTCTTCGTAACCATTTGACATGTCATAAACTTCCTAGAAACGTGAAAGGCAAAGGGTTACATTTTAGTGCACTAGAAGCCGTGCACAAGCTCAGGAGTACTGTGAATAAAGATAAGGAAAACCAGCCCCTAACCATTTCATTTTTAAAAACAACAACAGTACTTTTAAAGAGAAAAGCTCAACCAAAAGCAATAAAATAAAACATGTTATATGTTATGTTAATACAAAAGAGGTGTATTGTATGACCATACTGCTGACACTATACTCACGCATCTTTCACTAGTTAAACCTCCAATGCAACATACACCACAATCTGCTGTAACAGACCACGTTGCTTTGATGTTTACAAGTAATTCCCCCATTTCTATTTTTACTCCATTATATCAAATGTGTCATTTCATTCAAGTACCACATCTTAAGATGAAATGCAAGAATACTGAAGTACAAAAAGCAGAAGCTCACATGGTAAACATGAAGAAAACTGCCCTCATTAATAGGTTAACAGGTAACTCTGGAAAATGAAGCAGATAACAGTGCTGCTTAACAAGAATAAGTTTATCAAATGACACAAATGCAAATTAAATTGAAAAGCAATGCTTAGTTGTTAGCAGTGATTCTAGGCTACATTTTTAAGGTAGACCACCTCTGACTAGAACACCGACTTAAAACCAAAGGTACCCAATTCTTCAACTCCTTCCCTGATGCTATGCTCATGCTGAAAACAGACATTGTGTAACAAACACGACTTAGAAGCACCTGTACTAAATGAAACTATACTGGTAACTTGCTAAGAATAAAATAAGCTCACTTCTGAAATAATAATGGTATTATCTAGGTGCATAAGTACGAATGGATGCATTCACAAGAGAGAATAATGACTTGCCCCACCAATTTTAAAATCATCTTACAGCCTCTGATTAAAATAAACAACAAATTATATTTCAATAGCATCACAAACAAGGAAAGAAACTGTGCTGCAGCTGACAACGTAACATTTCTACTGTCATAATATCCACTGAACAGATGCACTGTACTGAAAATCATATTCCAATTGATAAACCTGCACGTAGTATTTACAAATAAGGTTCAAACAATAACTATGATTCCCTGGTACACAAACCATTCTCTGGCACTTTTTCTCAAGCCAGAGAGCAAATAAGGGAAACAGGCCTTTTTGACCCCTGGTAAGCAGCTACCATAAAAAAGGCGCTTTTTACAAAAAAAAACGTTTCCTTCAACACTGTGGTCTGGGCACAAGTCTTGAGAGGTGTAGGCTATGTACTCAGCATGGGTTCACAAAGGGAACCAAAACTAGCTGGCATGTTTAATGCTTTGTTGCATGAATGATGTCAAATGTTTAGAATAAAAAAAATACATCTTATAATGCTCTCAACCTGACTCACGTCTGCATTGAGAGTGCAATGGCAAGCTGTTCTAAATTCTGAATGAAACCCTGTGTTTCAAATATATGCAGCAGACCTAAGATTGCAAGAATGAGGACATTCATAAAGATCAGGGTTTCTGCTTTGCAGACATTGTTCTGTTTGCTGACGCTGCTTGCAGGACTAGACTACTGATTCAGAAAGTTTCTGCAAAATGTTCAAGTTTCCCCACTGACAAACACCTTATTGTCATTCTTGTGCAACACTGCATACTTAGCAGTTACCAGAGAAGGCTCTTTCATTATGTCTAAGCCCCGGAGCTGCTGGGGAGAATCAGCTGCAGCAAACTGAACTTGCTGAAACTCAACTGAAGGCCTTGCGAACTGAACTCAAGTCGCTAAGGGCAGGCCAGTGCCTTTCAGTCCTGGCCCTGGACCAGGATAAATGGGGGGCGGGGCAGTGGCTCTGCGCCTGTGGCTGGGAGGTTGCCGGTTCGAATCCCGCGGCCGGCAGAGAAATCCTCCTCCGTTGGCCCCCTGAGCAAGGCCCTTAACCCCAACTCCTCCAAGGCGCCGTATAAATGGCTGACCCTGCGCTCTGACCCCAGGCTGTGTGTCTTATGGAGAGCAAGTTGGGGCATGCAAAAAGACAAATTCATAATACAAGAAATTGCATATGGCCAATAATGTGATTTTCTAAATGAACATCCTTGATGATCAACACCACTGTGAGCTGAATGATTCCAAAATGCATTAAAAAAAATGACACACCCTGAAAGAAAACTAGAGGAAAATCAACTTTCAGCAAGTTACACAATGCTGCCAATACTTTCAAATGTTACTGTGACTTTAAATCCCTCGGACATAAGTCATTAATGGAACATTAAAGGGCTTCTGGACACTACGTCATAAAGGTTTAGATATTAAACTAACCAGTGCAATTCCCCATCAATACAATTATCATGCACTACTTGTCTTCAAATATCCTGCAGCTCAGTTTTATATCAAGCTCAATCTGTGTACTCATTTCATGCCACAGAAGGATGGCACACTCAGGACACTACAGAGTATCTCCCTCACCACAAACAAATCCTTACTCCTTCACACTATACTTGCTGTAAAATGTGCATGAGCTACACCTTGTGTAAAATAATTATATCAGGGGATTCTGACACAATATTCAAGCAATTTCTTTATGTAAAGCGTTGTGGGAGTGTAGATCAAGCCACCCAGCCTTGCTGTAGAAGACAACACCTAGACGTCTTTCAAGAAATGGTAGGATGAGATTCTTAGATCAACTAGCTGCCAAATGAGCACCATTCATATTTTCACTACAATAGTAATATAGCAGGTCTTTTACCAAAAGATTCCTTATTCTTTATGTACACTGTGAGAGAGTGTGATAAAACAGTGCAACATCACTCTCAGAAAGCCAAACATCTGAGAACACAGAACATTTTGTGATGAAAATGCTGAACAGCCCCTTTACCAGCTTTGCATTTTTTTCAGATTTTCTTAATTAAAACTGCAGTTTTGGAATGTGATGAAGCCGAGGAACAGCTTACTAACACTAATGTTACAAAGCTTTTTAATTGTAAGTATACCGAAAGTGGGTAGCTTTACAACTTTCCACTTCCACCTGCTTTGACTTCAAGGCATTCCTTCACAACCTCACAGATTGCAGCTTTGCTCAATTGGCTCCTCAAACCACAGACAGCAATGGTCTGAACAACATCAGCAGAGTAAAACTTACTTATCTCACTACAGTCTAAACCCATTATGTATAGTATTATTCGTAAACATGATATCTTACAATACTTACAAAGAAATGTAAGCTGGTGTTAAAATGTTGTGTGACATGAAACTTAAAGAACAAGCCATATACAGTGCTTAACTGCTAAAGCTAATAATTAAGGGTTGGAGAACACAAAATGCCTTTAAAGAACTGATTTTTAAAACTTTTCAGTAAACTGGTTAATCCTTGCTCTGCAGTGTAATGGCCTGAAATTGCTCTAACTGAAATGCAGTGCAAGTTCCCTGCTTGCTGTACTGCCGGATGTGCAGGAAAATAGTAACAACCTTAAACTTGAAAGGGGGGTGGGGCTAACCCAAATTCATCACACTTGTCTATAAAATATTCAGCCAACCTACAAAGGTAGGCATACCTTCTTCAGCTTAAAAGCACCTACACCAAGTTAGTCATGTTTTAACTGTAAACAATTTTTTATACAATTTAAAAGAAAAGGATAGTATAAGAAAGAAAAAATGGCAATAGAAAACTTGTGTTAAAATATAATGTCCTGAAATATTTAGGGCATTATATCTAAATACAATACAGTTCTATACAAACTTTCTTAGTGTACAAATCTGCTACTCACTTTTAAGTATCTAATGTGGCCCCTTCTGACTGCCATGAAGACAATTCACAGATCCCAAATCTGAAGGTATCAAAAAATAAAGTAATAAAAATATGCTGTGAAAAACGGGGTAAGGGAGGGAAAAAAACAGAAGGTGGTCAGCCCTTTTCAGGAAATACCTGTGGGGAAAAAAAACAGAAAAATGGTCAACTTTTCAGCATGTATTTTAACACATCACTTGCATTCTGCCTACAGATATTTTATTACTATACCCCTTCACAGAAATGCAGCTAGTTTTACATTAACTATAAACCCTTCATGGGAGACCTGTAGAAATGTTGGCAGACAATTTGGATTCTTACAATTTGTAAAACATAAAATGAGGGTGAAAATACCAAAGGGAAACAATCAATCTCTATTAATCTCTTAAACTGCTTTAATTCCAAAAACCCAATGCATGAAACAGATGTGTATACTATTAAATGACTTCTGTGTTAACATTTTCAGATTTCAACCAGTGGCTATACTCCTTGCTTCAGCAGTGGATTCCCAACATTTTTGCAAAAAAGGCACAACTGTTTTTCTCCATCTTACTTTCTGCAAAACCAACATACTTTGTGATGCATGCAAATAGCAACTATAGTTGTTTTGATTAAATTATTATGACTGAAGATATTTTACATATGTGAAAAATACTGTGGGCCCAGCGCATATCAATAAAGATCCAACCTGTAAAACAACCCTGGTAAAGGTCTATAAACCTGTTTTGTTTTTTACTTTATCACAATTCACTACACCATAAAACAAAAGTAAACTCAAAACTATACGATATTTAAAAAAAATAAGGATTTTATATGTTAAACATTCACATATGCACGCAAGACTCTTATAAAGCATAGAAGCCAAGACTTTTTTTTTGGAGGGGAGGCAGCATTGCGAGAATAAATTGAGGTGCGTTTTCTGGCTTAAACAAGAGACACTCGCAAATCTGGTCGTGCAATTTTATCAACACCTGGGGGACCATGATTACAGACCTCAGCTACAAAAAGACAAGGTCCCGTTGAGTAACTAAAAACATAAACGCTCATTCGTGCTCGGGGAGACCTGAGCCTGGATGAAAAACGACTGGGTATCAGGGAATCTCATATTCACGGTGAACAGACCAGAGTCCCACCGAGGTGAGCGCACATTCTTCAACACTACAATGCACTGCTGAAGACACAAACTACCAGGGTACACGTAGTTACAGTATTTAATGGGTAAAGACGCGACAGCACACCGGCATCGCATCAATACTGTGATCACGCCACAAATGCAGCTTCTCACACATGCAAACGCTGTCTGGGGGAAATCTGTCCAGGACTCTCCGCCGACAGACTCTGCAAACGAGCTAAGCGTTTCATTTTAGCTGCTTCACCGGCAACTAGCCTACGGGACCGCAGCAAGGGGCTTCAATTTATTCAGAAGAGGCCGTTCTCGGCTTCATCGCATCTGATTTTGAAACAGACCGCCCAACTGGGCGCAAGGACAGGAAAAAAAAGACACCAGGGAAAGAAAAGCCGCCTTTTAGCTTTCGGTAAAAATCAAAGATCTGGGGATGCAACCGAGTTTTATTTCCACACTAAGCTGCATGATTAATAAAATACTCGCCAAAGACCATTAAAAGACCATTAAAACTTTAACGAGTTTCTATACGACTTTTCTGCACCTCAGCTTATGGACAGATATGCAAATGACATTTTCGGAATGTAAATACAAAATCATTACGTGTGAGTATTTACGGCTAGTGCGCTGGTCGTTTCTAATCCAAGCCAAGTTGCAAAGCCCTTTTTTTAAAAACATATACCTGGAGAATTTAAGATATTCGTCACAGACTCATTCTGCTTTTCCCAGGCATAGGCTGGCAGCAGGCTGTGATGGTGGGGGGGCGTGAGTTTACAAGCACTTACACAACACAACGTAAAAGCAAAACAGAAAATAAAACATGAAAATTACCGTTAAACACAAAAACGTGCGAATTAAATAATGGTCTCTCATGCCCTCTTTCCTCACAGGCCCTAAATCCCCGCTGTTTCTTTACATCCACAGCGCCTTCTGCCTGCTTCCATTCCCGGTCTGAAAACCCCGCGCAGGCGGCGGCTACTCGGAGGGGCCTACGTAGGCCTCTCCTCGTCACCGCATGGCGACCCCCCGTTTTCATCCATAACCCCGTCATTTTCTACACACCGAGCCGTGGGGACGTTTCGAGGCGACTCACCTGCTTAACCGTAACTCCGACGCTGTTTTTATGGTAAAGAGCTCGACCCCGGCTCTGATGTCGACGTTGTTATTTCGAAGCTACGGCTCCTCCTGACACAATGAACACCAGGATCCGCGACCACTGCCGGCGAGAGACTGGACTTGCGCACGTCCCGCCCCCCGTCGTCCCCTATTAGACAATTCCCCTGTCACTCATTCCCGATGTGCACCTCGATTGGCTATCTTATTTGTCACGGTCAAATACGTCAGGGAGCTCCCGCCTTCCTCGCATTGTGATTGGATGAGCGGTCTGTTTGTCCTAATAACGTCTAGTGCAATTGTCCCACGGTACCATCAATCACTTAAGATTACATTGTTTTTTTTTCACCCTCTATGTAGTTGCAGAGCTGCGGAGCGGCCCGTATACATTAACATCAGGGTTGGCTGGGTCTGTTTCAGTGATCGTCAAATAATGGGCGTTCAGGATTTATCGTATCTGCGTCCAAGGTCAGAAGCCTCCCAGTAAGGACACGAAAAGTGGAGAACGATTTTTTCCCCGTCAGCTCTGCAAACCGTGGCTATAACGGCGAATCGCGATACTGTAATGCGTTATAACCTACCCTGTATTTGCAAATGAGATCACCTGTCTTATTTTTTTCCCCGGGATGCAAAAAAAGCACGCCTCAAAATAAACTAAGTACCTCGTTGCTGGTGAGTTTTGCAACGTATCTGAGAAAAGAAAATCTAATGTTACGTGGGAATTCATAAATCTGGAGTCGTAGCTCGGTGGCGCAGCGCTGGGGCCCCAGCTTCAATTTCTGATGCACGGAGTTTTCCCAGAAGCCAATTAACCTACCAGTATGTCTTTGGAGTGTGGCAGGAATCCCATAGCAATATAGTGAGACCATACAAACTCCATGCAGACAGCAACCCAGCTCTGTTAAATCCCTCTTGTGCAGCTTCCGTTGTAATTGTCTGGCTCTTGCTAAGGTGTCCTTTAGGTACAGTAGGTGGTGAGGGGTAGGAGGGTACATTGTTATACCATTGTCTTCTTAGTTTATTCTGTCACAAAAAGAAATCAGTGATAATCTTGTCAGCAGACATTTGTGAATGAAATATACCAGTAAAAAGAGTGGTCATTTTATCAACATTCAGTATTTGGAGTTAATTTGCATTTTTCGTGTAGCCTCCTTCAGTACCGATACCCGTGTAGCAGCTGTTTCCTCAGCTGATTTCTAGGGAGAAATTTCTAGTTTCCTCCCACTGTGCAGACATCCTGGTGGGTTATTTGCCAATGTGGGAAGACTGGCACCAGTGTGTGCCTTGTGCTGGACTGGCATCCTGTCCAGGGTGTACGCTGCCTTGTGCCTGTTGCTGCTGGAGACAGGCTTCAGCTCCTCTATGACCCTGGAATGGATTACGTTATTAGAAGAAGTTATACAGAAGTAGTTAGTATTGACAAGAGAACTGTCTATTTCTTTTCCAGAGTGTTGCAGAAAAAGCGTTCTGTATTGGAGTATCCGCACTCCCGTCTCATGGCTGTTATATCATTTTGAGCTCAACCATATTCACAGACAAAAGGCGTCACAAAAATGTAAAAATAAAATGAAGCCATGCTGTTACTTCCGCTTTACAAGGTGTGTCATACGCTTTGGTTCATAACGGCTGTAATCAAATTGCTTTACCGTGACCCCTCTGGTTTCCAAACCGGTTTCTGTGCCTCCAGCTCAGCCTGCTCGAGGCAACACACTCAGGATACTTCAGATTTCCTACCAGGAGGAATGAAACACCACGTCCAGACTGGCAGTTCACTTGCTGTCCGATGTGGAAACCTCCGGCGTGGTTCTCAGCTTGTTGTCCTGGCGCCTCTGTAGTTGCTCCTGCCTACGGGCTCCTGCCCCTCGACCCCTCTGCACAAGAGTGCCGAGACCCCACCTGTTCTCTCGCCAGCACCCGCACCCTGGTGGTCCTACCCTCTTCATGGCAGTACTGACAACGAAGCCTGATCTTCCTCTCTTTCCCACCTTCAGAGTCCAGTAGCCCCTTCTGCATCTCCTCCTGGAAGGTTTCATACCACCTTAAGGTCAGTTTCTCTCAACTGATCCTCTTTTACTCCTCTCCTGCCAATTGTCGTATCTCTATTCTATTTGAACCTTATACCCTCTCCTACTCGGGCACCAACAGAAAACACAGATCATCCTTGACTCCTTCCTCTCCTGTTCCCAACACTTTCTTTCCTATTCCACAGCAAAATGCTCAGCTCTGGGCTCCAGGGTCTCTTCCAATCACACTACTGTAAGTCTCTTTGCTGGCCTAAATCCCTGCACTGGCTCCTTATTGCTGTTTGCATCCAGTTCTCTGCTCCCTCCTCTGCCTGCTGCTCTCTCCTGCCCCCAATCCCTGATCCTCCCTGCACACCCTCCCACATTCCCTCGGACCCGGATCACAGCAGTCTTTCCGCTCCTACTCTAGCTCTGGCCATGCAGCGGCAGGTGGTGCACTTCAGCAGTGGACTGTGTCCCTTCTTCTGTGTAATGTGCTTTGGGGATCCTTTGGGATGAAAAGCTGTTTTCTCAAATACAGTTACCCTTTCTGATAGATGGGCACTGCGATGACTCATCTGCACACGCTGTATTTGTTTCTGCATGTTATCTCCATGATGCTGATAAGCAGCACTCAGTGACAGTGACCATGTTACCAAACTAAACATTTATTCCTGGAAACATAGGAGTTCTCCCACTGCTGCAGACCTGGTCTCTGAGCAATAGTGATTGAATCCCAGCTGGGATTCAGTACTGCACCCATCACACTGCTGTCTTGTAGGTTTGCGAGTTGCTGTTTTACACCTTTTTGATTGGAGGGCAGCTCAGTGGTGCGGTGGCCAGCGTTGCTGCCTCACAGTGCTGGGGCCCTGGGTACAATTCCTGCGTCATCTCCATGATCTTCCCCTGGCCGAGTGATTTTCATCCAGGTCCCCTCCAGTCCATAGCTATGCTGGTAGGTTAACAGGCTCCTGTACAAAATTGGCCCTGGTGCAAGTGTGTGAGTGTGTGTGAGGGGCTTAACGGTTTGAAAACAGATTGATGTATTGATTGGATCTAACGGTTAGGTGCCCTGGCTGACTAATAAATGAAGCAACAGTTACAGGGACTTACTTAAGGCCCTTCCAGTACAACATTGCCTTCTCAAGGATCTGCAACAAATTTAACATTTTTAGAAAATAAAAGCAGGAACACATTGCAAATTCTGTGCCTTTAGTACTGGATTAGATAACTTTAATTAAGTGCCAAAAAGTGCATTTTTCCGCAAGCATTACCCTTTCATCAGGAAAATACAAGTACTCATTCAACAATTCGGCAAAAGGGTTACAATGCAATTTCCTATCTGAAAATAAAGAAAAAAAAATAATGAAACAAGAACATTCAAGACGACCCACAAGTCCCAGAAAAACCGTGGCGTTCGATAATGCTGGGACTGGGACTGAACGGCTTTAGTAGCCGTCATCTCATTTCTGGAAAACACAAACCTCATTTATTTTCTGGAGAAATCTCTCCTGCAAGTACAGCGTGAACCTAAGGGTTCCACTTCTCCCTCTGAAAGCTATACACTTGGTCCATCAGATAAACCCTTTCCAAGGTAATCAAGTCAAACCAGTATTAGTACTGCTTTCAACTTCTCTAACATCCCTGAGCAGAGAATTTCCTTTTCTGAAAGCAATAAAAAGCCACCCTCCTTAGGAAGGTAGGAATCCGACTAAATACTCCAACTACTGTAATGCCCGATTATTTATGCACAGCATGTTGAGTTTATTCCAGGAGGAAGCAAGTAAGAAGACACTGTCCTACAGCTAACACTGCAACCACAAATGGAACACAGTCATGCAATTTTATGCAGCAGCTTAGTGTACTTAAAACCCGAGAAAAAAAAATATTACTTAAGGAGACCTAGAAGTTTGAGAAAAGGTTAACAGGCTGTCATAATTACAAAATACCTTTACAACAAGCAGCAAAGTGCTACACATGCCTTTCTCTGGGACCTTTTATTAAATTCTCCATTAGATTTTAAAAACCACAATCCACATACCAATTAATTCTGATTACTGGGAACCAGGCAGCATGCTGAAACAGGTGAGCTCCTCTTCAGTGCTACAAGTGTTTTCCTTTTGTGACCGAGGCGAAATGCTAGAAGTACACTACACATGGCAGAAAGAAAGGTGCCTGACCATCACTTCTAATGCACTTTTAAATAACAGCCATCAAACGCCGTTATCAACTGGTCACCCCCTCCACCAGTGGGGCTGTACAGAAAGATCCACATTGACCTCTGTAGCAAAAGACCATTCTGTACATAGTAAGTTTTTCTGTAAATCTCATTATGGGTGAGATTTTTTTAAATCCACAGATCAAAATAAACCTGTAGTAAATTAAATATACCAACATCTTTTTGTCCGGTGTGATGCTGTTCTCTGCGTGTTGCATGGTTCTGCAGGGTACAGGCCAGTCCCAGTCCTGGAGATCCACTCTGCCAAAGCCCTCACATGGCTTGCTAGGAGAACGTCCGTGAAAAACAAGGGTCAGAGCTCAGGTGTGATGGAAGAGCAGAGATCCTGTGGACATTCGGAGCTGCTGGTGGCTGTTCTTGCTCTAGGAGGAAGGGTCTCGGTCCAGGATCCGATACTCTTGCAGTGGGTATTCCTTCATCAGCTGGACCACGCTGGCAAGAGCCATCACCTGCCAATACAGAAGGCAGTGTTAACCGGGGATCGTAGAGGGATGTTTTCTTCCCCTCCTGCTGGTGCCTTCATTCAAGGAGGGATTAATGAAATATCTGAAATTTGGACAGTGAAACACTAACGTCACAGGCGATGTGTCCAGTTATGTAATGCAACATGCAAAATGATCTAACCAAGCAAACTCAGAGAAAACCAGAGGAGGGCCACCTCAGAACCTACTGAAACACTAAACACAACACTATGGCAAAAATAAGTCTGATGAGCTGCGAGGACCAGCAGCAGTAAATGCAGAGTGATGGAGACAGGTAGCAATATGACAGAACAACAGTCTTGCACTGGATGTGTCCAGAAGCAGCGAGCCAAAGAGAAGTCCAATACAGGAGCTGCGCGAGAGAAATGAGAGAGTGGGTTCATGGCGAGAACAGCAGAGGGCAGACTGCAGCTGCAGGGAGGGTAGCATGTAGAGCTGCAATAACCCAACCTAGGACATTCAAGAAGGCCAAAAACCAGAATTTGAATAGAGGAGTTTGTTAACAATGGATATATCCTTTGAGGTCCCCAGATGAGGTAGCAGAGTTCAGGTGTCTTTGCAGATAAAAACTCCTAACAAAGAAGTACTGTAAATCCAAAATACAGGACAGTTCCAGGATTTTGATCTCGAGGCTAATCTGGAGAAAAGCTACCACCACTTCTCCAGCCTACACTATTCCAGTCTGAAGTCTCACACTGCAACACCTTAATACACCCAGTGAACAACTGCATACTTGTATGCTATTTACATACACATCCTGTCTCAATGGCCTCCTCTAGTGGCCTTGCACTGTCATTGCACCCCCTAACACAGCAATCTGCCACACCTGAAAGACATTTATAAAGGAGCAGTCGAAGGTGTTTGGAAAGAGCTGGGCAGAGAGTATAAATAAAGTCAGTCATGTTAGGGTACATAGTGTAGAGCTGTGTATACTGCATTGACCTCAGTATGTATAGTGTTGGTTGCAACACTATAAAAAGGACATAAATGCCCCAAAAAGAGCTTAAGAAGCAGAAACCAGACCAAAATGGAGCATCATACGAGGTTAAAAGAACTGAATTTCTTCAGTTTTGATAGCAGATGAGACTTTGTTTCAGGATCTTTAGTACAAGGGAATTTGAATTGTTAGGACATCCATATAAATTCAGTTTGCTTGTCTTAATGAGGGCTGTGGCAAAAGTCAAAAGTACTGTAGGCTTGAAATACTTTACAAAGAGTTAATTAATACTGAAACTGCGGCTTCATTTCTCTCATGCTAGCCGAGACGGGCTTTCATTTTATACAGCTAAAACAATGCAAATACAGCATCCCAAACACACCAGGTCAAAGTGGCTAAACAAGAAAGGTTCACTTGGTGACGCTTTTAAACATTATAATAGCAAAAATGATCTCAGAAATCAATCTAGAAGATAATGTAAATGGACACCACTTAACCATTCTAGATACATACCTTACTGCTTGTTAAATATCTACACAGTTTTAATAGTCAAGTTCTAAATTCTTAAACCAGGTAGGACATGTGAGTATTCTAGATGTGACAGAAAGAACGGGAACCTGGAATTTCAGAAGCCCTTTAGGCTTCGTGTTAGAAAATCCTGAACTAGACAACATTGGGATGCTACAAGAATTCATATAGTTTTGCACTGCACTCCTTAAGTTTCATTAGTACTGACCTGAATTATAGCTATCACAGCAGCAGAGATGAGGGTTACTTGCAGAATAAAGGTCAAAGCATCTTTAAGTTTCTCCTGGCAACCCTGAAAAAACAGGAAAGAACAAGAGTCTTTAGCCTTGGTCCAGCAGAGCCCCAATCCAATACAATTTATAGGTTACTATAAAGCTCCCATTTCACATGACTGGGGACATTTGCAAATTAATGGTCAAATAATAAAAACTCAAGGGAACTCTAGTCCCTCCAGGGCTGAAAGATATTCAGATTTTTGTTTTCAATCATCTCTAAATCATTAGTTTTAATTATTTAGTTTAACCAACTAGAAATTGTTCTATATCTTTTAATGGTTACCTTTTCCAGCTGGAATGGATCTGGTTTGGCGATTCCTGCTACTGAACTACAAAGCTATAAATCCTTCTGTCAGATCAGTTTTAAAGTAGATTTATTAATCAAGAATAAATGAACTGGAGCTACAACTGCCAAATAACACTTGTTTTGCACAATTAACTGTGTCAAAGCATTTTCAAATCATAATCTTGGATCTTTGATGGTCATCTCATAAGAATGACAAGTAGTTTGACATGTGTAGCAGTGCTAACAGAGCTAGAGCTCCCCCACAGTAAACCAAGTGAGAATGTAGTGGGATGCGGTGGTATCAATACAGGCAGCTCACAGGACATCGAAACAGGAGCCCCTAGCGCACACTCCCCTTGCGCTGGATAATTAGTCAAAGATTACCCCAGCAGAGTCCCGGGGTCTCCCGGGTCCCGCAGGGGGCAGTACCTGGGGGTACAGGAGCTCCGGCTGGTGGACGCTGCCGCTGCAGTTGTGGGAGGTGGAGTTGCAGCAGCTCAGAGGAACCTGAAGGGAGCCGCTGTGGTTAAACCAGGGAGTCGCCAGCCAGTCCTGGAATCCCCGCACCCCGCAGCAGCGCAGCTGCAGACAGAGCGCGGCCGGGCGTTAGCGTCTGCTCCGCTCGCCGCACCTTTTAACTGGAACCAGCCCTGCAAATACTGGACTAGCCTACAGGCAGCTCAGAACAAGGTCCAGTCCCGTGCAAGGACACCACTCCCCTACACTGCACTGAAAGCAGCAAACAGCATCTGTGCATCCTGATGAGCACATTCTGACTACATGGAATACATTGAATATTCAAGTATGATAAAAATGTAACCTGTTGCAATCCAACATGATGCTGTATGATGAAACTGCACATTTACAAACCAGACTGTTGAGGGCTGCTACAGCAGTCAAAGCCCTGTTGCAGGGGGTTCCCACTGTAGCCATCTGTCTGTATTTTAGGCTCCCTCTAGCAGGAACACGGAGGGGTGTTTGTGTGAGGTAGGGAAAAGTCTTTAGATTGTTACTCTATCGTGGTTGTGAAAAACAAGTAATTTGGCCACAAATAAAGGAAGTGAGCTCTAAAATAAACAGCTCCCACCCAATGACTACCTCCTTCTGGAGTGAATCCACAGCATGGTCAGCAGGGTCTTGGCTGCTGCCGTTGTAGCTCTCAAAGACACTCTGGAGAGGAGCCAGCTCTGAATCAACCTAGAGGAGGTCCAGGAAGAGAGGTCACTCGTCTGTGCTTCCTGACCTTCAAGTACTGGAACAAGCAAGAATGGCAAAGGACTGGTGCTGCTGTAAACCCATTTCAAAACCTTCCAGAGTCACACGCCACAGCCTGTTCAGACTGCCGCTGCTGCCAGCCAACATCTTGTCTTAATATACAAGTACAAATGTTACATTCTAATATACAAAGGTTAATGCGCAGTACATACAGGTATAGGCACCTTCATATTTTAGATCCTGCTTGCTAATCACTTCATTAAGGATCTGGCTGTAGCAAGAGACGTGTGCTGGCGATTAAAGTGAATCTTTTGGGGAAGGGATTCCCCTACTACTGGTGCAGCATGAAAGGCCACAGTGTGTGCTGTTGTAAGATTGGTCCAGCATCACTTTAACAGAGAGAATCAGGGGTATTTGTCTCCTTAACCCCACTGCCCCGTCACCCAACATCTCCGCCAGTTCCCCACTTTTTCACCCTCCCTAATTGACATGGTGACATCAGGAACATATATTAAAAAAAAAACAATGAAAGCTCCAGCTACTGTACCTGCCCTGACTTGGAGTAGGCGAAAGCCGCTGTTGTCGCCACCAGGCAGAAAACGATGATGAGGAAGTACACAAACTGCAGGGCCAGAGAAAGACAAAGCAAAATGAGAGCAAAATCAAGTTGTATCAGTGTCTCTCATGGAAGCTCCGACAAGAAAGATGAGCAACTACTTCACTGATAAGGCATACGGGAGACGCAAGAACACCCATAAGCGATCCCCAAGCCACTTGACACGGCCTGAACAAAGAACTGGCAGCATTACACCAAGCCAGTGTGCCAAGTTGGTAGACGTACTGAAAAAGACTTATGACAGTAAATGCTGCCAAAAGGTGCTTCCACCAAATACCGAGATCAGAGGTCTGAATAAATATGCTTAATACTAACCGACACATTCCAGTTTTTTCTCTTCAGGGTTTTTCTGACATTTAATATAACTTAACATGCCCTTAAAGGGTCTTCAGTCTATGTGTTCAGGACTGGAATAAAATATAAAGTCTAGACAGATGTGAAGTCACAGACCGATGCACACACATGGGTGTGAAGAGCTTGGCCCCCTTGTCTCCCAGTCTAACATCATGAGGCACGGCGTTCCAGGCTTGTACTTACGATACCCTGGAGACATGGGGAGTCCTTGCTGGACACCCTGCAGCCAACAACTCCAGAGAGGACCAGAAAACTGGCAGCCAGGATGGCCAGGATGGTGGGGAAGAGGATGGTGGGGAAGACATCCTGGAAGAACAGCGAGCAGTATTTATACCTGACGAGGAGGTAGGCGCTGCTGATGCCCACCAACAATCCCGCGAGCTGCAAGAAACACAGAACACAAAATGAACCAAATGCCTGTGAGACATGATTTAATACAGAACGCATTACAGAAAGGACTGGTGGATAAAGACTGTCCGTCTGTGCTGCTGAGGCCAGTTTGTCCAGGTCGTTCAGGAAACACACGGCTGAGATTCTTGGATTGATAAGCGACTAGAAGGATCTTCTCATTTGTAACCTTTCTCGAGTACTTGTGGTTTGCAGTACTTTCGCCACTAATTACACCATTAGTTCTGTTAGAAACGTCAACATGTACAAGGGAACACAGAACCTTAGATCTCCTGAAGTGACCGACATTTATACATTATATTTTAAACTTCCAAAATCATATGACCTTAGAACTCGGCCTTATAAACTCTTGGGGAACATTTATCCTACAAAGGCGTCCTCCGTGGTTTTCACGGAATTCATTTTATCTTCATAATTCTGCACTCTTGAGTTTTTCGTTTGTTACAAAACAAAGGTGTCTTCTCAGCTAGGTTGCACCGGTGGAAAACTTTTCTAATGTGAAACCCACCGCCCTTCTTTTCGCAAGACAGGAGCCTTTAAACTTCCAGCAAACGGGTAAAAGCAAAACGCTCAGTGATTACGCACGGAGAAGGAGGCGACCTTTGGTTATCAAGCGTCCGGCACCGCAACCACCTGACGGAAAATGGAATAAAAATGGGGACCATTATAACTTTTTCCCCACTACATTACGAGGTGTAGCTTGACAAAGTTATGCCAAAGCAGTGTCAGCTTTGCGACCAATTACAAAAAATCGCAACAAGGATTTTCCAAGCCTATGGACGAACACACTGCCATGAATACATTTCCACAGCGCCTCACTCTCTAAAGTGAGTGTTGGGTAGTACGAACCAGTTTATCCAAACACCCCTGAACAGTGAACCGCTCTCCTTACCCACAGCAACTGGGTGATGATCCGCAGCGCCACTTGGGCTCTCCGACGCGGTTCGCTCATGACTTTCTACAGGAAGGCAATTTTAAGAAGAGCCAAGAAAGGGAGGAAAAAAGAAAACAATTGTCTTGACCCAGAAAGTACTTTCACATGCTGCTTTCTTCTGGTCCGAACAGTCCAGCGTTGCTGTTTATATACTGACGGGCTGCGCGATCGCCACTCACGGCTCCTCCGTACACGCAGCCATTTCTAGAGAAGAAACAGGTGTCCGCGTTCCTCTCGTTAGCATTACAGCTCCAATTTGTTATGCATCCGCCGTAAGCAGTTTTGAATCCCCGGTTAAATGGTCAGTATTTCTCTCTTCCCCCGAAAGCAAGAAGCAGGCCGAGGGGAAACGCGGAAGTATCAGCGCGGCCGCCTCCGCGCACGCCGCCTGACTCACTCGTGACGCGTGTGCGTGGTACTGTGAGATTCAAGTGGAAAACAGTAACAAGCTCAGCTGTGATGGACACCGTATCAGGCGACGCGTGGATGTAAACATTTTATTTGACTGACATATTTTGACAGTATACAGAAAATCCCCACTTCTCAATTTTATTTTATTTTTTTTCTGCTGTGGCGTAGACTAATAAAAACATAATAAGATCATGATGTTCTCAGGCCGATCGGATGACATCGTCCATTGGGGAGACAGCCCTCGCCATAATTCATTACTTTACCGCCTATGAAATTTCGAAATGAGAAAAATGAGTTGTTTGATGTAGGCAGGCACAGACAAACACGTCACACGATTGTTAGACTCCTTAAAGTGAATCAACTGACAACATCATCCATTGAAAGACCAACTTTATTTAGGTAAATTAACAGTTTTCTGTAAAAATCAGGTTTACAATGATATAACTGCAGTGTGTGGTGTCCTGTCATAACTATGCTTGCTACTGACAAAAAAGCAAAGAAAAAATGTATTTGTTGAGAATTGGCGATGGGACAGTGTCGAATAATTATTCTGATTAGGCACATTCACTTTGTTTGCTACTGAGAAAGTGTAAAAATGGACAGAGTAGAAGTTTGTGTTCTGGTATTGAATACTGTGGTGACCAGTTGCTTGTCATTCAAGTCATTATTTTATTGAAGTAATGCTTTCATAGACAAAGAAACTTTCAAATTCACGAGGAAATCAGCCACAGAACATATACTGTACCAACATATAAACTCTCCAAGACCTGATGTCTGCCACTGCAATAAACCTGTGATGTATTTGAATCCCCAGTAGTTTCTTTGGTGTAAAGATATTTTGCCTATTTTCTTTCCATGCTCATATTTTTGGGTGGTTGGTCAGTTTAGACGTTGAATTTATTTATTAGATTTTTTAAAACCTACCGTCTAAAATAATTTATCAATTTAAAATACAAAAATATCCGATACAAAAATTACAAGGATTTATTTCAGTTCCCCTGTAAACCAACAGCGTTTGGGGTGCGCTTTACATGGTATAAACAAAAACACACACAAACAAGAAAAAAAGAGGGTAGAAGTTACAAACTGTCAGAGATGACATGTCTCAGTGTCAGGGAGTGGCTTCTGGAGCAGGGCGGCCGAGCGCAGGCGCAGAGACACCCCTGCGTCAGAAAGCGCTACTAAAAGGTGCAGAGTGGAGACCCCTGCTGTGTACGTAGGGAGTGGTCAGAGATGCCAAGTACCGAGTACGAGTGGTGCTTTGGTGTGTAGGGCCTTAAAAAGTTAAAGATTTAAAAAATCTGTCATTTAAAGACTAGCCTATTAAAGCCTTAATATATATTTCCATATAGACAAAACCTGATTATTTCCAATACAGTGAATCTCTTACCCAAGGTGCGTTAACCTCAGAATTTAAATATGACTTTTACTGTCAGCATTTTCTACATTGAAAATAGACTCCATAAAAACAGTGTTCCCTCTACAGAAGTGTTGTATCAAATACAACTGCACTAAGCAGTTAAAAACACACACGTCAAAGTGCTTGACATTCTCAGAAACCCACATGTTGACCCCTCAAGTTTGGAAACCTAGGCTCTGCAGTTTTGAAGAAGTATAAAAAAACGCTTATAAATCATGTGAAAAAAGTACAGAGTGTTGTATTCTCCCGGCTCAAAACAATTGAGTCATTTTCAATTGCTTCATCATACACTATTGGTATAAACATATAGTGTGATCTTCCAGCCAGTCAGAACAATGGTAAGAACAAACAGTTCTTCATACAGCTTATTGTAGTGCTGACACATGCATCGTGACTGTGTCCTGAAATCAAATCATTTCTCGCAGTGGAAATGACCTCGAGATGAGCATATGCTTATGATGTATAAGGCACAGAATGAGCTGTTGAGAATATAACAGTTTAAAATAACATAAAGCACAGTGCCTATAGAAGGTCTACACTATCTTTCCAACTGCAAGGCAATCAGTTATACCAGAGCTACCTTACAGTTGCCATTACTAAGAGGTACAGTATGTACAGTTACTCAACCCACAGTTAATTCATAGAATTTCTTACACTTATATAACACTCCACTCAAAGCGCTTAACAGGTAATGGGGATCCCCTCCACCACCTGGATAATGTGACGGCAGCCATAGTGCGCCAGTACACACCCCACACACCAGCTCTCAGTGGGGAGGAGAACAGTGATGAAGCCAGTTCAGAGATGGGATTATGAGTAGGACATGATTGGTAAGGGCCGATGGGAAATTTGGCCAGGACGCTGGGGTTACACCCCTTCTCTTTTCGAGAAACGCCCTGGGATTTTTAAGGACCACAGAGAGTCAGGACCTTGGTTTTACGTCTCATCTGAAGGATGGCGCCTTTTTACAATATAGCGTCCCCCTCACTATATTGGGGCATTAGAACCCACATAGATAGGTTGTGTGTAACAATGTGAAAATAGAGATAAAATAAGTTCTGATTGAATGTCTTGAATTCAGGCTGTTGGTCCACAAAATGTATTGCCTTGGAAAGGGTGTGTAGATGTTCTACAGGCACTGTAGACAGAAGCCAGAATTAAATCACGTAGTCAGATCACAAAGCATCTCTTAGTTTGTTCAGTTTTTTTCCCAGTATATAATCTATAGTACAAAATTTGGCCACTTTAATATTGCGTTATTCATGGAGATTTGGAAGGGGTAAAACAGGGTGATAGGGTTGGCATTACTTATTGTGTTTTATTTCATGTTAAAAAATTAAAAGTACAAACAGTATTAAAGTTTTGTATAAAATACCTTTTTGGATGATTGAACTTTTCAGACTGCTGAGCTTTGAGAACATAGAACAGTCACTGAATTAACCCTGTCCTATTCAGTACATATTGTATTAATACTTTACCTTTCCCACCCGAGCAATTTTCTCTTAATGCTGCAGACATTCTAGAACAAGGCCATCATGTGACCCAAAAAGTGTCCAATGTACTGAAGCAGATGATTTTGAAATGAGGTTAAATGCTCACTCCTTTCTCCTTTTACTCAATTCTCTTTCTCAGATAAATACAGGTACAAAGAGTAGGTGGCGTAGCGACCATTTTCGGTTTGCTTTTTTGATCCCTTATAATAAGGTGAGGTGCTCTAAAAATGTATCAGCAGTTTAATGTGGCACTACTGCATTCTTCTATGTCAAGGCATGGGAACTGAGCTCTGCTGCGCTGGGGAGCGATGTCTTCTTCATACTTCACAGCTCTGCACTCAAAGCCTCTTCTGCCACACCCTCCTAGGACATCGTTTAAGAAAGAAAAAAAGTCAGTTCAATTGGTACTCACAGTTTTAAAATTAAAATGAAAGTCTGCTCAACCACAAAAAGATCTTATCAGATTTGTTAGCGGTGAGATTTCAGTTTAAACTATTCCACCCCAGATGAAAGAATAATCAAACTTTAAGTTCTGAAATTAAAATCGAACAATACAGCAAGAACTGTCACATGAAGGCAGTGCCTAATCAAGTAGAATATACATGTTTTTTCTTTATTTACTTGGAATCTCCATATTTTGGTACTCCTACAATATTAAACAATTAAGGAATGTTAGAGTTTAGAACAAGCTACACACAAGTTGAGGATGATACCCTGTTTTCTTTAAAAAAATGGCAGCAGGAGATCTTGAGGTTCAGTTAACGGCCTTGATAAGCATCCTCTCATTTCCTATGTTCTTACTATTTGCTTACTAAGACTTCTGTAGTGGTCTACAGTGGAATAGGCAGTGATTGTGCTTCTCTCTGAAATCATTGCAAGCCTGCAGGTGCCGGAAGAATAGCAGGAGACAGCTGAGAGGGCCGTAGTCAACTAACATCCAATGGTTTCCTGGACAGTGGCATGATCCACAGTCGAACCAGCAAAGTGTGAGCCATAGAGCTCCACCTGTTCTCTAAGTGTGCATCTTGTGCATTTGCACTTTGAGCGATTTGGGAGCTTAGCATTTGCGTATTTGATAATTCGATTTTAAAACAATCTCCCCCCGTTGTAAGAGGGCAGTAGGTTCTCATGCAGCCCTGGGGAATGAGCTGCCACCCTCAGTCACCTGACCAGTCTTGAGAAGATGATTGGTCAGGTGCCAGTTTAAAAATCAGGAAGCAGAGGCTTCTGCTGTTTGGAGACAGAGGGCAGATCCTCTGTGTGCAATCTCACCTGACAGAGAAGGAAGTGACCAACCATGGTCCCTGTGACTGTGGAACTTGTGAATTTTGAAGAGGAACTTTAGAAGAGGTTTTTTGAAACTCTCAGACAGTCTTACAAGTTTTTGGAAAGCCAGTAAGCTGCTTAGCTACTGGTTATTTCCAGAGAGGGACTTTGAAGAAGGAAATAGTTCAAAGAGCAGCTTAGGTTTTTTATTGTGTTATTTGGATAATTTTCCCTACAAAATAAATGAAAGCACTTGTTTGTACCATATGGATGCATTTGTGCCTGTTTGCATGGGACCTGTCTATTCAAACCTATGATGCCCCAACCCATGAGTGTGTCACAGAGTCATAAAAACCATTAAACTTAGAATTCGAGTTTAGTATAACTAGTAGCACATTTTATACAGTATTTCTGGCTTGAGGACACACTTGTCCTTACAAGTAATACTCACAGATCAAAAAAGGAGAGGGGTCATTAGTACTGCTACACCCAAGGCATAAATGAAGCAGCAGTATTCAGGTTTGTGCCCACCAGATGCCCCATTTAAAGATTCACTGGAAGTAAAAGAACATTGTTTGTGATTATCAGCTTCCAAAGAGAGATTATAGGTGTCACCTTAAGCAATGCCATGTTGAATTCCAATGCAGGGCCTTGCCTTAAGCAGCAGCTTAGTTAAACCACTATGAATCGTTAAATGCATATTAATGTTCAAGCACCTGGGTTTGAACTGCTGTCCAAGATACAATTTCAAATACGCGAGCAGACCAGACCTCATTATCTTCAAAGTAGCCACAACAAAAAGTATGAAAGAATGGAAAACAACACAACTGCTTTCAGTTAACCACGTTGAAATGATATGTACATCAGTACCTATATATGCAGTTCAAAAACATAAACCTGTCTCATTTGAAATATGTTACTAAAGAAAATTTGAAAGATGTTTCTGTATAGTATAGAGAACAAGGCAGAAACACCCTGATAATACCACACAGGACCGGCTTGATAACAATTTTCTAACGATTGTTTTCCAGTGTTTTAAAACAATTGATTATATGATTTTATGTAAATGATGCTTAAAATGTTTATAATGTTTTCTTAGTCTTTTAAAAACACATAAATGTTGTCTTTGTGATCTTTTGTTGGCTTGGGATGTAGCACAGCCCGAGTATTTCAAGTAGCAGGAGATACCCTGCAGCCAAGCCTGGAGTCTCAGATGCGTTTGTGCCGACAGTGGATCTGTTTGCTCGGATGGAATGATGAACACTGCATATTACACTACCAGTGAAACCCGTTCATGCCAATACATGGCTGTGAAAATAATCTGGAGAGTCTGCTTACTGAGTATAAAACAGACCTTTGGTCAAAGGGCTGAAGTTAAGTTCCCAGTTCAATTCCTAGTTGTGCAACTGAGATCTCCCTCAAGGAAATCACTGCACCTCTTTGTGTTTTATTCCCTTGGCTGCAACCCAGGATGGAGATCATGTTGAACACGATTCTGAACAGTGGCAGTTGAAGGATGTTTGAACTCACAGTCTCTTAGTGAGTATGCATAAAAGCATCCCCTGAATGACTAACAGGTATATACTCACCCCTGACTGCCCAGCTCTTTCTTCTGTTTTTCACATTCTTGCTTGTACTTTTTCTTTTCTTCCTGGAGCTTCTGTTGAAAATCTGAAGTCAACGTATCTGAAAATGTAAAAGGGGAGATTTCAAGTTTGTTCAGGAACTTTTTCTATTAGAAGACCTGCAGAATCCTATCTGGCAGATTTCATAGGTCACCACTATATTATCATTGTCTAGAGACTGGGAATGCTTTTACTGTGGTCAGTTAAACACCTGATTTGTTAAACGAAGTAATTTGGAGATCACTGAGAAGAACAAGAGTTCCCTTAATTCAATAAATTATTTCAATGACTCAGGAAGACCTCTCAGACAAAATAGATTGGAGCTCTCTAGGACCAGGGATGGAGACTCTTGTTTTAAAAGTATGTAAAATGGGGAAACACAGCAGCCAGGGTTTGTGCTGCTGCCTCACAAGTCAACCCCAGACTGGAAACCTTCTGTTTCTCCCGCATCAGCAGGAGTTTGCTCTGGAATTCAGTACAGTATTAAAGATAAAGGTGCTGACTAGGTTAATTGGTATCTCTGAGAAGGACTGGTGTCTCGATCAGGGTGTAGTCCTGTCTTAAACATGCTATTGATTTAATTTCAATGCTAAGATATCAGTCTTTTTTACATAGGAGCTGTAAATCCACTTGATCACAACTGACAGCCCAGTTTTAAGAGGGCAGGTCCTTTGTGTTCTCCACATGGCTTTCAATTTAAAAAGCATTGCATGTCCTTGGGATTTCTTATCAGCCAGTTCCCTCTCTGTGCTATTTATGCAGTGGGCCATCACTGGTGTGTACTCCTCCAGAGACCTGGGGTTTTTGTTAAGGTAAAGATAATTTCACATCTTAAGTGGTAAAATACATTTCTAACAGCCATCAATTCTGTATTTACATGCCAAGCAGTTAATTATGAACATTTCAAAATAGGTTCTCTTCTCTGGATCCAAATTCTCTTGCAGCAGGAAAGGAATTACTTTCAGCTCTCGATCTACAGTAGGTGAGTTATTATTTTTTTGTTCTGGAAATTGAACAGCTTTGTTAATCTCCTAGTGCAGAAACAAACTGTCCAGAGCTTTTAGGATTCATGTTTTTTTTTTCTGAGAATGACTAGAAGGAAAGGCGCTGCTAAGAAAACTCCACTGAACTTCAGGAAGTTTAGTCAAAGCCAAAGCCTGGCAGAGGAACCCCTGAGATCATCCTGTTTGTCAGCGAACTATGTTCTCTTACCTTCTAGATGCTTTTTGTCATTGGCACACTTTTTTTGCTCCTCATCAATTTTTCTTTGCAGGAATGTTTTGGTTCCATTTAATAGTTTCTACAAAAGAAAAACCAAAAGATTCACTCAGTACAGACCTCAGTTTAAGGAATATAATAACCAGCTAGCATGACTTACTAACTACTAAGCAGTCATGACAGGTCAAATGGTCTCCTCTTGCTTGAAACCTTTTTAAAGTTCTTATGGCTCTTGTAAACCCTGCCATTTAAGCCATTGTTGGCTTAAAGCTAAAAAAGATTAAGTGTGTCTCACAACCCTTCTGTGCTTTCAGGAGCTGCAGACATGTGGCAGCTATGAAAACAGCCTTGATGAAAACAAAACGGACCAAATTCCTTGTAAGGCCCTCGAACATGTAAATGCTCTGGACCAGCAGGTTTTACATCACCAGGAAGACCAGCTAACGCAATCATGCTGGGAAAACAGTAGAACTATAGGCTCCACAGAACGTTCACTGCTTAATATCCCTTGAAAGCATGGAAGGAACTAGCATGTTTAGCTAGTTTGTAGAAAAGTGCCTGGATCCTCCCTAGTGGCAGAATCTATGCATTATACACGTTATGTCTGCCAGCTTTAATACACATCTCAAATCTGGAAAAAGGCATTCAGGATGATTAATACATTTTTAGGATGATATATTATGATCGGATACAAAGCTAATAGAGTAACTCCCTAGACATCACTAAGTGATTCATCCCTCCACTTAATTTGATGCTTGCAGCTGTTGAACTAGCAAAAAGTAACCTTTTTTTGCTTTGCCAATCGCATGTCATGACCTTCATTTTTGCTGACGCAAATACAACCAAATGTAGATTTCAGTTACTGAGTAACAAAGAATGAAAGCTAGCTAAAAAGAGAAGGACATTCTGGAATGGCGCCATCTGGGGAAGGCGCTGGTTTGATTCAGGACGTGACCCTGAGAGAGGAGCTACATGAAGCCGCACAACATTCACTGCAGCCACATCATTTCCAAAACAGGCCAGCGATGAATTGAAAACTGTAAAAATATCTTTTTAAAAGGTCTGTTCCTTTAGTTTGCTGTTCAGATTGCTTCAGATAAGCAATGTCCTTTCTCCATTTGCTCCTGTTCACCCAGCTGTGTGAAAGGCAACCAGCACTGCTGGGACATAATTCCTGCTTTTGATGTCCCATCCGGGGGGTGAGGGGGCAGTTTCAGGGGCCCAACTGAGTACAGAAGAAGTGATCGGGGGACGCCAAGTTGAAGTGATTATGGTAATAAATTGTTTATTCAAATGCCGTCTTGCCAGGCTCATAACCATGCTATAAGACTATACTCAATCCTTTATAACCTGCTTTCCAAAAGACATAACAGGTGCTGTCATGACTATCTTAACACTAACTGTAACCCTAACTCTATTTTTATCCTTAGCCAGTACCTTATCCCTAGGGCATACTTTAACCTCTGCTGTCATGTATTATTCTAAATAAGCACCATTTGAAACAACAGAAATAATAATTGTAACTCTTTCTGATAGTGTCTTTTTTTAAATGGGCTCTGCTGAGCTGATGAATGTGCACTAATTAACATGAAAGCTGAAAAGGTGCTGCCACCTCAATGTGGCTGTTCTTAATTTGGTGGTGATTCACATCGTTTTCTTTAGGCTTTTTTCCTTTTCGGCTAACTCATTTGGTGACAGGCGTTGTGCTTGCGAACACAGACGCTCAATGAATCAGCTGAAGCTACTGTACCATCCACAGTTATTTAGTGTTGCTTTCTTTGGTGAAACTTAATTAGTTTGCAGATGGTTTGGTGAAGGTTTGACTGGCATGATAAACATGTGCGTCTAAACAACTGAAAATCCTGCAGGCAACATTTTTAATTTTATTCCCACTCGATTCGGAATCACCAACCATTTCTTTATATCCTCCCTCACAGCAGTGACTCCTGTACCACTGCAGAAAAATGAGAGGACAGACAAGCTCCTTTGAAACTCCTACACTCTGAGCAATTCATCTTTTACCAAGCTGAAGGCTCCTCAAAGCTCCTCAAAAAAACGAATGTCCCTGAAAGACTTCAGACCCCAAAAGCTACAGGGGTTGGAGTTGTCATTTAGCTAAGAACTGAGAGGAGTCCAGCAGTCTGGTCCCCCCTCTGCTTCTGGCAGCAGCATGTGAGTTGTTTCCACAGTCACAGTCAGCTAGTCACATTCTCCTGGTTCGAATCCATGACCATAGAGTTCACCCAGTTGATCCCTGTCGTTTTAATATTCATCCTACAGCTTACTGTAATCATTGGGATCCTTGACCCATTACTAATCAATTGGAATTGCATTAATTTGGCTATTTTCTTGCACACTAAACACTATCTCACGAGATACCAAGCAAAAAGAGGGGACAGGTATTTACACAGGTGACTAACGGAAAGAACAGTCTGATAATCTAATTCCAACAGAAAGAGTCTTGCAAACCTCAAGGAGTGCAAATCAGCCGGAAAAAAAGTTATGAAATTGCGTCTTCAGCAAGTATATCATTAATAACACCCTTCCCTCACAGTTATCAATGCCTGTTTTCTGCTCCCATCAGTGTTGACAGCAGCAAGTCAAGATGCTGGGTTGCTGTTAGTGTGACAGCCGGACTGGATTCGTCACAACGGGCTGCTCCAGGGCTCTGACCCTTTGGAGGGAGTAGGATCACAGTTTCTCTTCCCACCTTATCTTTACGATCTTTGAAGCACCTGCTGTATGTTGAAGTCCTATCACCACTAAATCATGAGGTTACGTCGAACAAACAACTTGAGTGGCTGAAGTGAAGATCCCTGTGACATCAATTCCCCCCACAGTTCAAAGACGTACTGCTACAGTAGGTCAACTGGATTCGGGGAAAACTGGCCCCAGTGCGAGTGAGTGTGTCAGTGTGATGGACTGGTGTCCCGTCCTTGGACAGAGTTCCCTGCCTCTTCCCCATTGTTTGCTGAGATAGGCTCTAGATCCCCTGTGACACTGAATTGAATGAAGCAGTTTGAAGCATAATAGATATTTTCATTTTTGGGCTATGTCTTGCAGACATTTCATCCCATTGAACTTACAGAAAATACTTTGTGTTCAAGTATGCAAATTGATCATAGGTATTGGGACACATTGAGTTTACATCATTTCAGGGTGTTGTCTTTATTCTTTCTTTGCATTTTAAAATGCTGCTGAGTTGGATTTAACACCAGAGATTGAAATGGTCAATCTTAGATTTTCCATTTTTTTCTCTCCTGATTGAACTCCTCGATTGCACTGGCTTTATGTTTTGTGTCATTGTCATCCTGCATGATAATGCACCATCCAGAACGTATGGAAGCATTTTCTTCTACCTGAGAAAATGGTTCTGTCAACTTCATAATTAATTCATGATGAATTTACAAATTTGTGAAGGTCTGTAGCAGTAACCACTACAAAGATCTTGCATCATAGTGCATACTTTGTGTGGAAGAGCAAATAATATTTTCTGGGATAGTATAATACCACCAATAAGACTACTAAATTAAGAAACCTAAAAAACTAAACATTGTACAAGCTGCATTGAATGTACCATCTTGTAAGTAATTTATGCTCTGATGTATCTGTTCTGAGAAATTAAATGGTATATGTTCTGTAGCATTTGTGAAGAAAATACTTGATTATCTGTTTTACCTTATAAGGAGATCATTGAATTATTTAAAATTTCCTATACATACATACCTTGACCAAAACGTATTAGTAAATACACAATTTAAATTACCAGTATTACTTCACTCTTCAATATTTACTTTGACAAAATCCTTGACCTTCTTGACCTACACGAAACAGTAAAATAATAATATTTTCAAACTGTCCAGATACTATTAGAGACAGGCTGTACAAATGTATCTTTTTCTGCAAGTCATTTCCAATAATTTGAAACACTATCAGGCAAAAATTGGCAGAATACCAAGAACATGTTGTGGCTTGTTTGCTAACATTCATTTTGATAGCATCATGCTGCCAATTGGATCAGACTTTAAAATTAATGCCAGGCAATCACTATCCAGATAGCCAAATTAAGTTGCAACAAAATTGTAGAAATCATGAATAAAAATATAAATTCAATTCCAATCAAGCTTGAAAATATAAATAACATTTCAACATAAGAATTGGCAACACAAGCTTGTGTACACCAGATTATGCTGTCAAAACATTTGCTACATTGTTGTCACTAACTAAATATGTTATATAATTCCTAAAATGTCTATAAAAGATCTCAAAGCAATGTCTTCAGTGTCCGTAACATAGCTAAAAAGTTACTTTTATTTTAATTTACTGGATTTATAAATACCTTGCTTTTTTCTAACACAATGCTTTGGAAATGTTTTTACAATGGTTTTTATTATCTTGGAAAACAATATATTTTATATTTGTCACTGGTTTTTAAAGACTGATAAAAGACTTATGAAGTTTCAGATATCACCACTGATATAATTTCTTTTGAAAAAATATTTATTTTCTATCCTGAAACTGTTTATGTGATGTTCTTACGTAATTCTGTAATTTTATATTGAGATTTCTGGCATTAATCAAATCTCACTTCCCCACTAGTCTATTAAAAATGTGACTTTATAAATAACAGCATGGTGTATAATTCATAAGCGATCTCTTAAAAATTCCTGATCATCATCCTTAAAAATCTGAAAGCTCTGGAAAGTGTAAAATAAGACAAAACAAAAATCCAAATGTTAAACCAAGACAGGTAAGAGTCATTCCAGGTCTTACACAGTACAGGGCTTTTAGTAATGGAAGAAGAGATCACTCACCATGTCCCGCAGACATGCCATTAGGGACTCATCACTCTGCTTCAGCTGTCCCTGGCTCACGGCAAGATCACGCTGCAGCCTGGTCTGATTTACACGTCCTTTCTCCAGGAGCTCCTTAAGGGTTTTCCTGTCCTTCTCCCACGAGGACTTCTCCTGCAGGTGCTTTTGAGTTTCATTCTGTAATTCCATTTTACACTGAGTTAGAGTTTTCATCGTGTCTGTCGTGGAAAGAAGTATGATGGTAACACTAGTGGCTACAGCCCATAGGAGTAGCGCAACTATACACATTGTACAGTAGATATCTTTCCTAGACCTTGCCATTTTGGGAGGAGGAAAAAAAACACCTGTAAGCAGCAGGAAAGTTAACCAGCTACCAAAGCACTGCGCTCTTCTCTTCTGTTGTGTTTGTGAGCAAGAACAGGAGCTTGTTTGGACTTCCCCTAAAATTCTGCAATATTGCGACAGGAAAGGGGTGTGTTCAGAAAACCATTTAGCTCTCAATGAGGGGAGGAAAGCAAGAAAGTATTGGCCCAAAGTTCAGCGGCGAGATGTTGGACTGGTTTAGAGGGGTGCCAGAAGTGCCTGAGCAGAGCAGTGCCCTGGGTCTGTCACTGTGCCCTCCTCTACTTCTATCCTCCACACAGTCAAAGAGGAATGCAACAAGCTGGAACTTTTTGATTGAGGAGTCCAAGTAAAATTCACAGCTTTCAGTTCCAGGAAACTATATTGCAAGCTGTTTGAGTTTCAGTTTCCATTTCTCAGTCTGAGGTACCTGGCAGAATTCCCAGGCTTTGGACATGGAGTCCTCTGCTTTCAAGCAAAGCTGAATTACACAACTGCTCCTTTTTCAGGAAAAGGCACTATTCTTACCGGGCATATTTTCAGCTCCTTACCAAGACCAATAGTGATTTTAAGTGAGTAAAGTGAGGAAAGGCTAGTCTTTTTCTCAGTAGATCTGTACAAAGAAAAATAGACTTAAGAGCAAAAGGAACAAAAGGGAAAAGGAAAAAATGAACTTTCACAAGCCAAAATTTTGGTCCACATGGAACCATAGTTAATTACCAGTGGATCTGTCATATGTTCATCCACACAGGGGTTAGACACCTTAAAGCTTCATTGTACTATGAGGTGAAGGGAGTCAGCCTGATCTTTACACTGCAGCCTACCTTAAAATGCTGTGACACAGCGCAACATTTCCAGTCCATTTAGCATCATCCCTGTGAAGACATCCGGCTCTGGCCTGGGGTCATTACTCCTGACCCGGCTTGAGGGAATTTTAAACAGACACCTGCTGTTGTACGTGACATTTCAGAAACAGCTGAAAGGTGGAATAGCATCATCAGGAAGAACGGAGCCACAAGGGGATTTACTGCTTTTAAACCGCCATTCGTGGTAATATCATAGGGTGAACATTGCTGGACTTGGACAAGAAAACCCTGCATAACACTGTTGCAATTAAAAGCACTGTTAGAAATGGATCTCGTGTGCATCTCCTTCAGTGTTCTCCAGAAGTAGTCATCTTCGTTGCAATTAACTCATTTCAAACCTTCACTGGACTGCGCTGCATCCCTGCACATGTATTATCGGAAACCTGCTTATTCCTGGGAAGGGTCACAAGAGAGACATCTGGGAGCCTCCCCCAGAAGCATGGGGAACACAATGGGGACACAGCCTGGATGGGGTCTCTAGTCCATCAGGGATAATAGCTTTTCATCAGAGTAATCTAATAAAATGAAATGAATGTAAACGACAACTTGTTAGACTAGGAGCTCTGCAGGCCCTTCCCTATATCTGGGGGGAGATGAGCTAAACTCGACCTCTGGTCCAAATTATTTCCTGGGCTTAATGGCATACCTTACACAAACAGATCAACATTTAATCCCTATTCTCTTAATTAAATAGGACTACAAGGAACCCCTTCTAAAACCTGTCCAAGATTTGTCTGCTATCAGAAACAAACAGGGCTGAATGTCCAGCCATCATTAATCAACTTTTCAATATAGGTTTCATTATTCACTTTGGCCAACAGCACACATTCAAAAAACAGTCATCAAAATGCAGAACAAACCCGCCCCACCCTCCCTCCAGCTTTCTTCCCATACCCACCCACAATGCAAGCCCACAGTTTTATTGCTGAGGAAAATTGGCTTTGACCTTTCCGGAATGTGCACCATGTTTATATAAAAACAATGTTTAAAACAATTCGGATGGGCTAAATGATTTCCTCTAAATTTGAAACCTTTCCTAGGTAATATGTTCTAAAACCTTTCTTCCGTTTCGATGTGGCTGCTATAACTGATTTGGTGGTGAGTCACATCCTTTTCACTGGGTACAAAGATGAAACGTAGAGAAACTCTTGCCTGCCAACAAACTGTGGCAGAGCACACACAGCATGATAGCAACTTGCTGAAACTTGCATCTGTGACTTGTACCACACATCCTTCGATGACTATAAGGATACTTGATCCAAGCCTTCAAAGTTTTCAAAGATACCACAGCAGGCTGCTTCAAAATGAAGATAGAAACAAACCACAGTAACACAACCACACTTGCATATGCCATCTTATTTAAAACTCATCTTAATTTTCCACACTGGAGGAGCGTAGGAGCTTCTGGGCAAGCTCTTATCATTGCTCTCCTCCCAGGGAACTTTGAAAAGTAGAGAAAGATTGAACTTTGTCTAGGTTGTTCTCCTGATGTTTGTTTAATCCCTCTTCACTAATTACACACTGGAAAACTATATTCTACCCAACTCATTCCACGTCGTCCCTGTCACCAAATCATAGTCCTTAATTCATTAATCACTGTCCATTCAATTCTTCAGTTAAACTCGGTGAACCCTTCTCATTCTATTCTTTGTTCTCTTCTCCAAAGGTGTACTCTTTCTGTCCCTGTGGTGAGTAAATGGGCTGACTCAGTTTGGCCAGGACATTGCACTACCAGCCACTCTGGCATTCCTGACACAGCAGGAGCAGCTGCTAGTTTGTTGTCCTCTCTCTCATACCTCTTATGCTCTCTCTAAGGCCACATCTTTGATGTCCCTCAGTACAGTCTTAACGAATCAATTTCTCAAGAGCTCCAAGTTGCTGAGAACCACACACATCACACTGCAGTGTACCTCTCACTCTTATTCCTTTCATGTTAAAGCTTAGACACCGAATGACACAATTTTCCTCCTGGATGTTCTTACATGAGTACCTTCTCATTCACTTAGGGGAAAGGCCAGTTCCACGCAGAAGCCTGTCTTTCTGCTTGCTCCTTTCCCTCATGTGGAATCCCATCCCCAGCCCAGGTGTGTCTGATACCCAGCTTTTCCTCCTTAATAAGTGGATTTCTATCTATGCCATCTCCTACTCCCTCACAAGAAAACTTTATGAAAGTGCATTTAAAAAAGGAGGCTCATCTGAACCAAAAGGGTATTGGGAGTATGGAACAAGCCTCCCAGTCATGTGGTTGAAGCTGATACTTTGGATGACTCCCTTGGATCAATAAGCTACTAACTGCCAAATGGCCTCCTTTTGTTTGTAACCTTTCTTATGTTTTTAGTTGTTATTTTTCTCCTGATGAAGCTACATTTGCTGTTGCATTGTCTAATGTCTCCTGCAATGATGTCTGTACTCATTCTTCATGAACACATGCATCTTCAGCTCTCCTTATTCGTCACTTTGACAATAATGAAAAGGAATGATTTTAAACTGGTTGGAAAATAATTTGGTGTTTGTTCTAGGTTGTTCCATGAGACACAAGATCTTTCATTATTATGCTTGAGATTTTTGTGCCAGATGTCGATATCTCGGAGGTAAAATAATTTCTCTTATTGGTGAAGCTGAAAATCACCGTTAATTTGAACTTGACATTCACATCTCCTTGGGCTTTTATATGGATTTTATACACCAGTGACTTTTATGTTTACCCTTACGGCAGGGTGCAGGTCTGT